AACGTACGCGAAGATGCCCAAAAATAACGTCTGAAAATCAACGAATTTTACTACCTGTTTTTGATGGTTAACTGTTTAAAAAGCTCTTTATTCTAATGGCTATTAATGACTATAACCATCATATAAAGGGCGTGGATCAAGCCAATCAACTACGCGCGGGCTTTACATGCCACAGAAAGCAGAACTATCGAACGTGGTGGCCCTTGTTTTTCTTCCTTATTGACGTTGCTCATACCAACGCTTATTTACTATGGAAATAGAGTAATAACGTGCAGAATCACGATAGCCATAGGATCTTTATAAGCGCCCTGTGCGATCAATTACTACATTCGAATGATTCAAAGAAGGAGGAGCAAAAAGAGAAGAAGAAAGAACAATCCCATTCTCAACCCACAACAGTATTTCGGCGCCACCATAAACCCATACAACTCAAACAGCGTGGCCGGTGCGAATGGGGAAAGCGTCATTCATCAGGCTGTTCGCGTAAACGGTCAAATAAACGCAAATTTGGAACCGACATTACAGAATTAACTACCAACGGCGCCAACGAGGGTATTTTAGGAGGCTCCTTCACTCATCAAAGATGCAGTAAATGCCAGATTTGGCTCTGTATCAAAGGAGACTGCTGGCAACAGTATCACAGCTCAATTGAGGCCAATAGCTAGATAGAACAGTCTCAATTCGCCGAAAATAGACGTTTGTTGACGTTTTTGGACCCCTCATAATGATCGACAGCGCTAATAGGCACAAACTACACCCCTGTTCAGGGACGGAGGGGATAAGATACATCTGTCGAAGCCAGACCAGACTTCAGTATCCAAACCTAGAAAGAAATGTCTCATCCTAGTCTCTCACATCGACGTACGCATAATCTACTGCTGATCTCCAAACTACTCAACCAGCGGGATCATGTCTCGCCCATTACGATCATTCTAGATTCGCTAGAACAGCCAGCAAAATCATTGCTTCGAGAATATCTGAGAAGAGCTGAGGTAGGATAATTTCCAACATCGTTTTCCATTCGCACAGATATATAAGATCTCATACATCAGCGTTCCCACAAGCATTTCATTCCACTCCACGCAATTGGCTGATCAGACGAAGTTGTCTCGATCAAATACAATCTTTTTATCGTTCGAGACGCTCCAAGCCCCAAAGACTGCCACCCATTTCATTTCATGCTGGAAGAAGCAGCCGAATCAGGTCCTACAAGAAGTAACGAAGCTCTTGTCTTCGTCGTCAGGAGCGTCAGGAGCAAGTCAGCGTACGAGTCCAGCCTGTTAACCAGGAATGTATGATCGTTACCTCTAAGCAGAATTTCAGGATTCATCATCTTGATTGATAGTCTACATGCGATTGCATCCCACTCTACGCAAGACCTTGCCTTCAACCTGCCAGGCTATTTATCCTCGTTCATCATACCGGATCCTCGCCACCCGACACGTCAGATATCGCTCGTTGCGGCTTACCACACGGATGTGCACTGTCACACTCCATCAAGCAAGTATGCACCCTCCCCACTTGCTCAACTGAACTACCTTGCAACCTCAATCATGATATTACACCCTATCACACACCTCCTTGCACAGAAGGCAGCTCGAGATCGCAGCCTTGCAGCACCTGTCTTCGGTCTCGCTGAAGAGCTGGAGGGTGTCGTGATAGGATTAAACGGTAAAACCAAGTCATTAAAGCCGGAAATGAATGGTCTCGCGATCGAACTCGAGCATAGGCGAAAAAGCGGTCGCGGAGTCGTAGACTGGTTTTTCCTACCATCACAGTTGCCCAAGCAATCCACTGTGAACGAGAGGTTGCGCGAAACTGTGACTTTGCTGGACGATCACCCGCTTTTCAGAAAGCAGTTTGATTTGCGACCGGGATCTGAAGAGGAGCTTTCGAACTTGACATTCGATCTGAGCTTAACAGAACGGCAAAAGCAGGAGAGAGAAGGAGTTGTGCTCCCTTACTTCGATGCGCAAAAGGCTGATGGAGGTGGGGAGGGCGGCAGAATATTGTACGATATGGGCGTGGAGGACGATTTTGATGACGAAGAGGACGAGGACTGATCTTCGTGACTAGCATCCTCCAACTAGCCACTGATCCGTCCCACGAAACGATGGCGCAGTTATCGACTCAGGGTGTCATTTCGGGAAAGCTGAACCAGATAGCGGATGGGTACCATCAAAAGAACCGCCACCAGATGAATACAATCATAATAAAGCCGAGAGCTGCAAAAGGGCCATACTATTTCGGCATCAGTATTCATGACGCGGCTGATGAGTTCGGCGCAGGAAAACTTACCTGTTTCAAGAGCAATTCCCAATTTATCCTCACGGCGGCCTTCCGGTATTTCTTACTATCCTCTCTTAACCTGCCACTCATCTCGCCCATCCTCTCCAAGCTATCTCCACGATACAAGAGATCCTCAATATTCTTTGTCATCACCTTCGTCACATCCTTCAACTCATCATTCAGCCTGTCCAGGTTCGCAGATGCCCGGGAATCTTGGTACGTCTTTTTAGTGCGCTGAATGAAAGTATCGAACTCAACGAAAGCATACGGACGCAAGGTAGGCGAATGGTACTGTGTCGCAAGGTAAGTGGTGGTGAACTCAGTCGCAAGGTCGGAGAGGTAAGTGAACGCCAGTTTTCGTGGGTAAGACTTGGAGCAGATGCAGAGGAAACAGATTGAATCTTGTATTATGTAGCTGACATATGTCAGCACAAGCTAAACATTCGAACATTGTGTACTGCGCATGCATACTGTAAAGTGTATTGGCCAGATTCTATGCTAGCTTGTGGTTCAGAGTTGCGATTCAATCGGCGGAAGATCATCTTTGCTTGTGACTTGACTTCGGCCAGCTCGCTTTCGACCTGCATCATCCAAATCAGTTTGCTGTCTTCATCATTCACGATCAGCGTCCTGCGCGGTGTCAACTCACCTGCTCGTCATCCACTGAAGCTGCCAGCATAAGGCCTGTACTATTATATTAGCAAGGACTGTGGATATAAGACAAGGGGGCATCTGACCATCGAGCCGTGCTATTTGGGTAGACTGAACCATCTTGAATTTTCGTATAGAGAGAAAAACTAATCTCCAGCCTTCGATGGTAAATTTGTCACCATCAAATGTTTTGATGCCAGATTTCGAGCCTGCAGAGATCTTGGCGGGAACTGGAGCTGCAAAAGAGGTAAAGTGCCACAAGCTAAGCAATATTATATAAGCTTATTTTATGCCGCGGATGGTTCTTATTTTACGCAATGCTTCACATACTCTGTAAGACAATCGAGAAGTGTATTCCTTGTTGGTAGATGACAGCTACCAAATTATGTAGATCATATCTGCATGAGCCAGCATTCCGGGTACAAAAAGGATTCTTGTAATCATGAGTCCTGGACAACATTTTCACAACCCCCAACATTACATAAGAAGTAGAGAGACTACTTCAGTTGAAGGTTCATTAAGGCTGAACGGGAGCAGTCCATTTTGTGCATCATTATCTATACACAATGCAAAAGGGAGACCAGAAGCAGATGAGAAGCAATCCATACTTACTCCTCTCCTTCTTGTGCATTGCAGCATTAATGGATGATAGTAACTCTTGGTGTCCTAGTGCAGATAGGGCTGCCACTTCAGGGAAGCTTTAAGCGGTGCCTTTGTAATATCAGAAGGTACTGAGCTCTCGGTACATTCATGCACTTGTTGATAAACCTTCTCAATTCCGACTCATTTGGTAGACAAAGCAGCACCCTCCCGAAGTTAGGTTTGGAGTAAGTTAAAGGGATGAGCTCAGGGGCGATCGCTTGGCAAACGTGGTTTGACGTAAGGCTGACAGAAGTTACAAATCCAAAAGCACTCCACTTCAAGGTAATTACTCTCTTCTTGGACGGAGGAAGTCCTAGAGAATAATACGCACAGCGACGTTGTCCTCTCCTCATGGCTCTTCCGGTGCGCCTAGCAGGAGCCCTTATCTACGGATGGCCTCCCTGGCGATCCTGATTACAAGCCCTCATTTGCCAGGCGGCACAGGGCAAATAACGCTTTCACCGTTGTGCGGTGCCGAGCTGACCACGATCTCTGTCATACTTCCTACCTGTCATGGCTCGCCGCTCCGGACGCAAAACAAAAGCCCCTGAGCATTTTGATTCAGTGGTTCGAATTCGCGATAATTCAACGCAGACGTCCAAAAAGACCAAACGCCAAAAGCGCAATCTCCTTACTTCAGCAAATGCGTTACAGACAAACTCACCAATCCTCAAAGAAGATATCCAGTCACTGTTCGCATCCACCATCCTGAGATGGTCATCCATGACTGAGGAGAAGAAAAGGAATCTAATCGACGCCTTCCCTCCTGCTTACCGCATTCACAATACGGACGAAACAGGCAAGCTGCAGTGTCCCATCTCGAAGGAGTTTGTGGCAAATGATAGCATTATCAAAAGAGACGTGGCTAGGTTCAAAAGAGATGTTGAGGCTGGGTACTATCTCAAGAAATGGCAGGATGAGGGCGAAAAAGCAATGAAAGAGCGAGCTGAAGGCCATTTCAACGAGTACATAAAGCAACATGCTGAAGACAGCTTTGGCAAGACTCAAGAGAGCCATAAGGACCACAAGATGATGAATGGCATGGATGAGAAGAAGACGGAGAGTGACAATGAGAGTAAAGGTGACTGATTGACTTTGCGGTTGGCTATGTTCTGGATACTATCGTTGGTCAGGTGATAAGAGAGCTGTCACGGAGTAGTTTGGCTGCAGAGACGAAAAGGCTGCAGAGACGAAAAGGCTGCAGGAGGTGTCAAATTTAACTATGTCTATCCTCTGCATCATGACTACCAAAGTCAACTGGACCATCATCGTCCCCATCCACAATCTCCATCTTCGGATTTCCATGTGAATCGATCGGTACATCAACGGCATAGCTTGCTTCGACAAAGTCCTCAAGCTCTTCGCTCACGGTCTTGAGCTTCTCCTTGACACTGGCAACACCTTCTACACCCACGATGTGTCTAGTGGGAGGATTCTCATGGCCACCGATGGCTGTAAGTGCATGTACCGTTTCTGCAAGCAACTTTTCGCTATGTGCTTGGCTTAGTGGTGGATAGAGGCTGACAACTTCGGTTTGACTTAGGATATTAGGACCGCCCATGCGTTCCGAGTCAGATTTGGGTGAGTATGGGTCTTGATTCTGCGCCACATACTGCGCTCTGATGCCTGGAAGCCTGTTCAGTAATCCGTCGAGGATTCCACGAAATAGGGGCGCATTGTTCGCATCTGGAGCGTACGCTAGGTGAGGTGGCGCAGACGTAATCCGGTTGAGCAATATTCCAATCTCAATGCTGGCTTGCACAATTGTCATCTTGATATTGAAGGGGGCAATTTCATACGCAATACTATCACAGAAGCCTTCCAAAGCCCAAGTTGCTGCGCAATACATTCCCAACCCAGGTGTTCCCAGATGACCAGTAATACCTCCAAGCACGATAATATGGCCAATCTTCTGCTCGCGCATATTCGGTAGTGTACTTTGGATAATGTTCATTGGCCCAAAGAAATTGGTCTCAAATTGATCTCGTACGAGGGTCTGTGTCCGGTTGGAGATAGCTAGCTCTTCAACCGTTCCTACGATGGCTTGACTGGTGCAGCAAAAGAGTATATCCACTCGGCCATAGGCGTAGACAGCTTCTGCAACAGCAGCCTGACATTGACCCATCATTCTACACCGCCATTATTCGCTGTCAGCTCGCTATCTTCTTATGCAACCGTCTCAACACTGTAAATGGAATCCGGATATGCTGACGGAGACGCACACCTAATATCCAGAGCCACAATCTTCAATCTCTCCTTCCAACCATCTCCACCACGCCGACCCACTTCCGATAGGAAACTTTTGAATTCCTCACTTCGCGTATCATCTTTCTCGAACTCTGCTGGAATAATACCAGATACCACGTAATCGCCGTGGTTTAGAACTTGTCGCGCAAGAGTTATGCCAACAGGAGAGTCGCCAGAAGTCAGTAGCCAGACGCGAGGCGCATTATGTGTGGGGAATTGTGGAGTCGAATGAGAGTCTTTGCCACCATTGGCCATGATGAGGAGAGCAGTCTCAAAGGCTGCCGCATAGCTAGAGGACGTCGCTCTTCTCCGGGAGCATATTTGAGGTGTTGGGGACGCTGTTTACGAAGCTCCTCAAATTTCTTGGACAAAAGCTCGGACCAAGTTTGCTCCATGGCGAGTTGATGACTTCTGAAGCCGCAATTTCTATTGCTTCTTACACCACCCACTTACCTTGGTCTATGTTCAAGATGCCTCAAAGAGCAGGCAGAGGGAACGAGGTTGCAGGAGATGGCGATAATAATAATGGTGGGAAGGTGCGTCATATATCCTACAAGACCACGAATAGTGCTGACACTTCCATAGTCAATGCTCCAATCTGCGATACAGATGCTCGGCATATTTCTGTTATCGCAATGGGTTATGGGTCAGTTCTTTGGTGGGAACAAGGCCGGAACCACAAACAGCCCCAGTCTCAAGGCCGGCATACCCTCCTTCTCTGAAAGACCAGAGCCTGGGAGCATATCGAACTATAGCGCCATTCCTCGATTTGTCGCTCCGTTATGGCCAGACAACAGCACCCTCGACATCAGTATGTACGTCTCGCCGTCTCTTGCCTTGCCGGCCTTAAGCTCATTACCGTATGATACACTTGTTCTGGAGGAAAAGAACTTTATCATGGGTAACTACAATGAGAAGCGAGAAATCTTGACAACGTTTAAAGTGCCGAGGACTGTTCAAGAGAATGGTACGCTTTGGGCGCATTTCTATGTGGCACTCTCGGGGAGTCAAATCGATCCATTGGCAAGAGACTATAATCCTGCTACAGCAACGCACTTCTTCCGGCCACTCAATCAGTACCTACCGAAGAAGAAAGAGCGGAAGCTTAAGAATCTGTTGGAAAAGACTGAAGAGCCAGAGGACGACTCAACGCCACAAACTACGATCGAATCATTCTACCATCCTAATTTCACTATTGCTGTGATTCCGGACACAGGTGTTCAGGATTGGAAAGCAATACATCCTGCTGTGCGAAACAATTACCAGTTGGAGCCCAGTGGAGCTCGGGATAGCTCGGGAGAGACGGCTTGGTATTATCCGGTGATCTTCATGAACCGATTCTGGCAGCTCAGATCTCACATGACAGAGATTAACAGTACTGTCGAACGCTTACCATTGAACATCCAGCTTACAAACATGAAGAATTGGAAGTATAGTATGTACGCCGCCATGGACGATGGTATGAAACGGACCCAAATGCAGGCGGCCACAACTGATCAAGTCACTGCCGCCGGTGATGGCAGCGAGTTTGAGAAGTTCAAAGAGATTCTGCTGGACACAAACTCATATCTTCTCGGGACCACCTTTTTTGTTTCTATTCTGCACATGATCTTCGAAGGTCTAGCTTTCAAGAACGACATCGCGCATTGGCGCAAGAAGAAGGACGTGGTTGGCACATCCGTGCGAACTATTCTCGCCAATGTCTTCATGCAGACTATCATCTTCCTTTATCTCATGGACAACAGTGATGGCACATCTTGGATGATCCTTGCAGGTCAAGGCTTCGGAATTCTGCTCGAAGCATGGAAGATCACGAAGACTGTTGACGTGAGATTGAGGGAGCCAGGACCGGAGTCTAAGTTCTCGTTCCTGCCATACGTGGTGGTTTTTGAGGACAAGCACAAATTGACCGAGACGGAGAAGAAGACTCAGGAGTACGATCAGATTGCATTCAAGTATTTGTACATCGTTGCGGTGCCTCTGCTTGCCGCGTACGCTATCTACAGTCTCGTCTACGAAACGCATAAATCATGGTACAGCTTTGTCGTTGAGACACTTGTTGGCTCGGTCTACGCCTACGGCTTCTTGATGATGGTGCCATCTCTCTACATCAATTATCGTCTCAAATCCGTCGCCCATCTGCCCGGGAAGGCTATGACCTACAAGTTCTTGAACACGTTCATTGACGATCTATTCGCCTTCACAATCCGTATGCCCACGCTGCATCGGTTGGCGACGCTGAGGGACGATGTCATCTTCTTCATCTGGTTGTACCAGAGCTACAAGTACAAGGTCGACTACAAGCGAGTCAATGAGTTTGGCCAAGGCGGCGAAAGTGACGAGGAAGGAGAGGAGAAGGAGAATGCTGATGGGAAGGAAGTCAAGGGTGCGCTTGAGGGCCAAGATCCTAGGGAGTTGAAACCTTCTGCCGCTACAACTTCTGCAAAGGCAAATGTTGGGACAGCGCAGAAGAGGAAGTAAATCATCCGCGGATCTGATGTAGTTTAGCTTCTTCATGCGGTACGAAGTACACGAAACGTTTTAGAGCGGCTTTACTGTGAGACACTGTAGGCCTTTTCACATACCAGTCTGCTGTGGATAACACTAGAAGGCCAAAGTGTATGGTAAACGTGATATCTGACCGAGACCCATCTCGAGCCAGAACTTGGGTGCGCCAGCATGACGTGCGATAACGATGAAGTGGTGCTGAGGAAGATGGACATTGAAATTAAAATGGTAAGCTCGCTATAAGATCAGCAAATGGAGACAGAGTACCCTGTGTTTTCAGCTGTGCGAATATCTCGCACTTCATCTTCGGGCCCCACATGATATATTGTTGCGACTTCAGATCTACCTTTAATGAACAACCTTACCACTCCGTCTTCCTGCACCACAAATTTGGCTGTCTTTTCATAAGTTCTCTCCCTTGTTCATCTGTCAGCTCATCCGTAGATATACTTACCTTCGGAAAATTTGGGTTCTTCTTTCCCCAAAGGTGCTGTCGAGAGCAGTAAATATAGTTGCTTTTCAGCCGGAAGTGAGGATTGCTATAATCAAGAGCAGCTTGATATTGCCCACTCGCTCACGCTGACTTCAGTCTGTGCAGTTCTCTTCCTTTGCAAGCGCTTAAGCGCTTTGAGCTGCTTTTTTGTTTGAGCGGCTTCCTCCGGGAGGTCTTTCGAGCTCTCTCACTATACCCTTGCTTCAGTCTCTCCGGAGACTGTACAAGTCAATCGCTGGCTCTGGTCAGCTGGTATTACGGGACCATATTCAAACATGTCTTCATCATTTAGAACTTTTCCTTCAAGGCCGGATTGTCATTGTACCTTCCACGGATGCGTGAAATGGCAGGAACAAGCTGAGAGAGAGATTGTCAACCTTCAGCGCTCATTAGCCGATGCCATCACCGCGCAGGCAAACATCCGTGAAACAGCGGAGGCTAAGCTCGCTTTTCATACCAAGTGCTCAGCAGAGAACCGTGATGCCCTTCAAGAATATGCGAGATAAGTCGACGAGGAGAACAAGAAGCTCATGGCGATGATCGACGGCATGAAAGAAAGCTCTGCAGGCCTGGCAGACGCTATGCAAACGCTAAAGCAACGCCATCAAGGAATGGGAATGCAGCTCGATGAGGTACAAAAAACCGTGCAAAAGGGCGTTAGCAAGGAGGATGCAGCAGGCGATGAGCCAATGGACTTGGGGGGTGGGGACAAAACTGATGTCGTTGTTCCAAAACAATCTTCCCTAGCACTCCCTTGCCCTCCACCTGAGCAGACCAATCTTCCTCCAACCACGTCTCCAGCACCGGCACCCAAGTTCCCACGTGTAGAACTAAAGGATACGGATTTTTTTATGAGACCTCCAACAAAAGAGCAACTCGAACCACTGGAACGTAATCTGTTCGGGAGACAGAGAGGGCCACGGAGTTGAACAGATAGGGTAGAAGTGCCAGCCCTGCCAACATCGTCTAGGAGGCGATCGCAGAGAAAGTCATCTGGTAGTGACGAAGGAGAAGCAGCTCCGAGCAGAATTGGTGGCTGAGCATCTGTAGATGGAGAAAGCCTCGCTTTGATTCACACCTTCATCTGGTGGAAGCGTCAACACTCAGTCAAGCGAAGAGTTATATTGAGGAAGCTGGGAGGGATCATGTTGAATAGATCGGTTAGTGGACTCCATTTTTGTCTTGCGAGAAACATATGTTGAGGCATTGTCATTGGTTCTCGCTTCACATAGTCATGTTGTCTATCATTGAAGACTTATTTGGCAAAGGTATCCTTCCAGCCTAGAGGGTCCCAGGTAGGTGACGTGGAAGGTTAGGGTTAGATAAGACGAAGAAAAGTCTTGGCCATTGAGGAGAGTTAGCAGATTGGAATAGGTCGGAGCACAGGCGGAGCAGCCCTGGAATTGAAAGATCCCGATGATGGTCGGTGGTATTGACATGCCAATATTTTCTTTAAAGGAGACATGAGGACTGGGAGGAAGTTGAGGCATGTAGATTCGCTGCCTGTGCCGCTGTGCAAAGAATGATGAGGTGGAGAAGCATGTAGCTCGGCGATATTGCTTATTGGCTCTGCTGTTGAAATTCGGTGGTTCAAGCGAAAGGAGGCTATATTTCAGGAGCTAGCATCTCGAAGATTCCATTTGTGGTCAGAGAAGGTTGCGTTGGGGATTATTGCACAAGGTAAAGCAATGTCATCTCAGCTTCGGATAGCAGGGCGAGCGAGAACAGGTTCTAACAATATCAACGAAGAAGATGGAGCGGCAAACATGAAGACTTGTTCTCTCATCTGGGAAATGCTCAGTGCTCAATGCTCAATGCTCACTGAGTAAACCAGTTTAGAGTAGCAATCATGCTCCTAAAGCTGATGTCTATGCTTCCTAATCGTGGAGGAAAGAAAGTCCTGAAGTGAGGTTTGGAAGCTTGATGATTGCCAAGGATTAGTCATCGGTAAAGTGAGAAAGTCCGGACAGCAACCAACATCATCCAATCTTTGTGATGATCATCCCACGGCCTTCCAGTTGAGAATCATCGTGACATGCGCGGTACCAACGGCACTTTTCATCATCGTTACCTACCAGTTTTCTTAATCCTGTAGCGGCGGCGCATGCCCTCTTAGCTCACCCTCCAGCTCCATTGGTACCTACGATGGCCACTGCTACAGTTGGGCGTTGTGGTCGAATATCCCATCTCCCACCAGCCCATTGTTACCGCTGCTGTCAATACTCCTTGGAATAAACGGTGCAGTACCAAATTGTACTGAATGTATGCTTGGAGCAACAGGCATTGCTGGACGGATGCCTTGCATCAAATTGCGGCAACGAGTGCCCTTCTGTGCTTGGATTCCATGTTGAAGTCCTCCGTGTAAAGATTGACCGTCCATCAGCATGGTAGGCTGCCGAGTACCTTGCCACGCTCCCTCGAAGGACGAGAATTGGACCTTTCCCTTCCGGTCTCCGTTGGCCACTCTGTCCACCGTTGCATAATAGCTGTTCCAGCTTTCCTCCACGGTGCGATGAGGTATAGCTGTTGCCCGAAGCTGCAGTCCTTCAAGAGTGGCTACGTCATCAATTTTGTGATCTGAATTCGGCTTGATGTCCTTGAGGCCCTTGAAGCCAACCGAATCAGTGAAATAATACTCATCGCCCCAATTGTCATTGGAGAAGGCCGGGTCCACTGCACCACGAATCCTATCAAGATAACTGTTCGAGAGCATTTCACCAGACCAGTAGTTTCTGACAACTTCATACTGGGTAGGTGGATGTCGTGCAGCTTGAATTGAAAGCGGTTGCATTTCCTCTGTAAGTAACGGCGATGTTTGTAAAGGATTCGTCGAGGAGGAAGAGACATCGAGCTTCGTTGACAAAGGTTGTATGGGTGCAGAATCTTGAGGACAACAGTCAGATGGGTGCTGGCTAAGCATGTATGGGTCAAGCAGCTCCAAGTATTTCTCGTCAAGCTGATCTGCTGCCCATTGATCCTTTGTTGATGACTGCGCATGAAGTACTCCCAGGTCAATACTAGCATTTCCATTGACGGGAGTATGTGCTGAGGTGGATATTTGCTCATCTATCAGAGAAAACAAGGATAAATCAGGCATATAGTGCACTCTTGTCAACTGATCTGTGAAGGCGTCTTCGCATGATGCGTCAAGATCGAAGCAAGCATCCACACTCTTTAAATTCGGCCTTAAGAACTCCCAGTCTGCGGGAGGATCAGACCTTGCTCCTTCTTCCCCATTGGTTTGGGAGGCTGCCGACCGCGGCTTCATCATTTTTGGTACCTTGACTGGACGCTCGGGTTCAGGAGGCTTCAGAGTGTGCTTGTTGCTGAATGGTCCTAGACAGGTCAATATCACATGGAAAGGTGGAAGAAGAGACACTGCTCTCACGGGAATAGCAGTACGCAGCCGTATCGATGCCAGCACTCTCATTCTCTGTAACAGATAGAGCACTAGCGTGGGCTTCCATCCAGCCTTGCTCTGAGATCACGCCTTCTTGGAAACCAATCGCTGGCTGTGCCTGTTGTGAGTTCATAGTGAGCTGAAATGGCTGCATCAGTGACAATACTATCGCTCAAGGGCATTGCACAACTCCCAGGGCAAAGATGCATCTATGGAGTAACAGATGGAGACCAACGGCCGCTCGAAAATATCCATCATTTCCTGGAACTCACTACCACCTGTTGGGCGGATCGCTTAGCAGCGGAATTCACTCCTCTATGTACCACAATCAACACCGGTCGTTTGTCGGAAAATCCTTGTACAGTTGCCAAATATGCTGTCCTCGATTCCATGAAAAAGGAACTGTTTCAGTACCTGTTACATTCTCGAGACTATTAATTGTGTACAATCTGCCTTTGATCGCAAGCGAAGCCTAGGGATGCCTTGGTATGTAAGAGCGTTTGCATATGTTCAGGCACAGGCTGCACAGTGAACCACTCATGAGAACGCTTCAATGCGAAATGTAATAGTGGAATACGGAAATTTTTGTCACGAACAGTGGATCAGAAAACGACGCAAGAGGAGACTGGAAATATGCAATAATATTATCATATTCGGGCACTCCCAATCATCCAAACACACCAGCGCCTCGGAAGCAGAGGCATAAATGCTAGAGCAGAATCTACCATTCATATTCAACAGCTTCCTTGCATTTCTTGCATGTTGAACAGTCACCTGATGGTGGACATACAGGGATACATGAAGGGAAAGGCAATCGTTGGTAGTCCCGATGGAGTCTAGGGCGTCTTCCAAGGCTGATGGATGAGAGGCGGGATCCAAATGAGCTCTTCTCTGCTGTGAACTTTCGTAGCGAATGTAGTTTGGTATCTAGGCTGATCGACGGAAGATGGGATCGAAACGATTTTGTCCCTACTTCTGCTTGCCTTTGGGGCAGAAGTATGTCAACATTGAAGAACTCTTCAAATAAATCTCTGCTGGCCCGAGGATCCAATTCATCATGCGATTGACTTCCTCCCCCAGCACTGCTTTGTAGTGATATTGACTCAGTGTTAGATGAGTCTTCAGACGGGTTCGAATCATACCCATACTTCAATTGGAAGGCCGCTCTGCTCACCTCTCCCTCGGTGCCATTTGGCAAAAGTGGTTCTTCATCGGAAGAGTCTCGAAATGGCTCTCCGTCATGACCATACTGCAGTGTGATAGGAGTAACACAGGTCGGATCATCTCTAACCTCTTCCATAACGCTCACCTCCATCTCCAAATTCCATATCCCAAGAAGTCTGGACAGGAACTCTTCGAGATGGTCTTTGTCAGTCATATTGCCAAGATGTTTTACAAGATCGTCTTTGCAGAAATATGTGATCTCGGTGTCCAGTGGCCCCTCGAAGTGTTTCCAGATGCCGGAGTCGACAAAAGTACATCTCAATAATACGCGAAGGATATCTCCATAGACCAGAATCAGACTGCATTGGTGATTTGCTGTCCGCACGCAGCATGATGCCAGCATCATTTTTGGCGAAGATATATTGAATAGATGATTCGGAGCGTGGTAGCTAAATATTACCCTACCTTTGTAGCAGGATCACCTTTCTGGGCTTTTACACTACAGACGCCACCGGACGTCTTTCGATTATTTGTACGTGGGTCTGTCAGAGAAGAGGACAAGTGCAGCAAAACATCTTTTTCTCTCTGAGAACAACGATCACAATCGATGCCAAGCCAGACCCCTTTGTTGATGCCAAGACCTGCAAAGCGATCGTCAGCACACGGCAATTTTCTTTGAGGCCTTTGAATGTTGTTGTTCAGCAGTAAAGAATAACCATTGTTCTCTGCAAGTCCTTGTGACCCGTCAGAAAGTGCCAGGTTTACCTGCTCATCTGCAATAGAAAGCCCTGTTTGCTGAGTTGACCTGGCCCACCTTTTTTTCCCCCAATATCCGCTCGGTAGACCCCCAGAAAGCTACCCAAGAAGTTTCGAATTCGATCAAACCAATCATAACCGGAAAGATGTGCAGAATTCACTACGTCATCTTCCCTTCGGCCATACCGTGAAATCCTGCACCAGCAACTGCTACCCCAATTTCACCTGCAAATACCCAGAAAAGGTCGAGGCGCAGCCCTCGCCAGAGTTTCACTGCCAACGTTGCTTGCACACGCCAGAGCTTGAGCCAGCAGCGCCTAAGGTAGGTCAGTACCTCCTCCTGAGAGGATAGGAGTCTGCCCCGAACGCCTTTGGCCTTAGTTGCCGAGCCAGGGAGTCTGACAAAGACAACTCCAAAATCGGAAGACATGGTAGGTGTAGCCAATACGGTTCCAGTGGCTGTGTTGTTGCGGGGAATTGAGGGGCTCCAGTGCCTGACCCTCAAATTGCTGCTAGGACGGCTGCTGTAATGTCGAGTGTGCTAGGTGTCGGGCGTCCTAGCATATCCTGAGCCTCTCACAATACGCGGAAGGCAGAGTTGCAGATCATCAACATGTTTTATTAAGAGGTTGACTCTCTCCATAACCTCCTGAGAGCTGTTCTCGGCGCAACAGTGGCGCTGGTGTAACATTCGTTGCCTCAGAATCATATCTTGCCTTCGCGTTTGAGCCCTTCATACAGTGCCACTGCTGCTAGTGTCTTTCCATCCCTAGCACCAAGCTTCCATAACTCGTCGAGTCGACACATTTTCAACGTTATCTTCTCCCCATGTTCTCGTAGCCCCGAAAGTCTGCCTTCCATGCTCTTAATTTCTGTCCTAGCCAGTCGCTTGCGCGATAGGAACAAAGGAATGAACTCATCGCATGCACCAGGACTGGGGTATATTCCTTGTTGTAGTAGCTCCTCCTCGGCACCTGGTGGTGGAATCGCGAGGCTTGACATGTCTATCAACTCAGTTTCAGCGATTTCCAATCCAGTCTCCTCCTTTATCTCTTTTGCTGCAGCACCGGTGAAAGTGCCACTCTCATCTAACATTCCTGCAGGAAGCTCCACAAACCCTAGACTTCCAGCGGCTATTCTTGGTTGTATCGTCAACACCACGTATTCCTCGTTGTCGCCGTTGACATCGTCCGGCCGAACGACGAGAAGCATGGATACGCTACCTCCGCGTAAGAAGACGCTTCCAGGTAGGGAATCCCCTTTGTCATTTGTGACCTCGGCTTTGAGCTTCAAAAAGCCTAGGCGTTTGCCTCCAAAGTAGTCACATGATTGTATGGTGATTCTGCGAAGCTTGAAAGGGGAAGCATGAAAAGCGTGGGTTACATGCGTCTGCAGGGAGAGTGAGTGTTGTAGCGTCTGGAACCATGTTTGAAAGGCGGGAAAGGCGTATAACTGCTGTTCAGATATTTCTGGTATGGACTGAACCGGGATAAATCCAGGCAAAGTAAATGCAGACATGGTGTGAAGGTGGCTGTATCCTGGCAGCAGCTTCTGCGATAAGGAGCGGGTCAGGCAACGCAGTGAAGCTCGGAAGGGGCATGGGGCATATGGAGTATGTCTGGTCGCTGAAACCTACTACGTAGTAAAGTCAAGAGCTGCAGCATAAGCCACATCTCGGATAGATCACGCTCACCGCGATGTTTTAGATAGGCGAATCGAAGATCACTCTTCAATCTCAACCTGACGTAGTTTGATCCTCTTGGCCTGCGGGCCCAAGCGGAAGGTTTTGCCCGAACACGACTAGTTACGCGTTATGTAAGGCGTCTTCAGTGCCCCTTTCTCAACCTCTTCGTCGAATTCAGCATAATTCATAGAGATGCAATTGTCTATTCGCGACCTTTCAAGAGCCTCGCTTGTCAGCCAGTTGTCAGAGCTCTGATGATTCACTCTAGAATGGCACTCCAACCTACTACTGAGTGACAATGTGCCTGGAGATGGCCCTCCTTTACTAACTTAGTGCAGGCAAATCGCCTTGTCTAAGCCTTGATGCCCTTTCAACTTTCATATCTCTCCAGGCGTTTTCTTGTTCTCTATGCATCCGGCCTCCTAATTGCAGAAAATACGAGCATTTCATCGAATGCGTTCGTCCACTATGATGTCAAGGACATAATGGTGGACCACTCCTTCTCGGTGGGAGCCGATAGCGCCTACTTCAACGGCACACTTACAGCCTATGACACGAGGCTGAAGACTTGCTAAGCTTGCCATTTCCGAAACGTTGCTAGCAAGGCTCAATTAAAATCATTCTAGAAGATTTCCGTGCCTAATCCGCCTTTGATCATGCCTCTCCCCGGGAGGATCCGGCAACTCCTGTCTAGTGGTCCATTTGCTGAAGAGGAAAAGCCGGTTTCAAGGGGCGCTTTGTACGTCCAACCTCGTCAAGATGCTAAGGATACGACTGAGCCCATCGAATCTTCATACGGACTGTGGTCAGATTTCAATCCTTGTTGCCCGTGGGTTACACTCTTATCAGCAATGCCTAATGTATCTGGTCTGCTAGAGCTGCCAGAGATGGATCCAAGCATGCCCGTTGAGCTCGAGGTCATCCTGGGACACAGCCACATGCAACTACAATGCACCTTGACCAGTAACGAGAAGGGGAACTTTGCCCTGCTCAGCCCCTGAGCATTGGATTGATCCAGGACTGGCCTGCATCTTGAGGTTGGCTCATACGTCCTTTGGTGTTCGTCTCCTAGCTGATTCCCGAGTGTTCGGTACTGAGCAATGTGAATCGTCACCGCTCAAATATGCCAGACGCCTTTTTCAAGGTAGTTCGGGGGGGTGCTAATGCTTCGGGATCGTGCTAGTCGTTGCATCCCGAAATGGCACGTGTGATTGAGCGGCAACAAATCCACCTCTCGTCCAGTTCCAACCTGGATATTGTACCTCTGTGACTGGCTGCTTCATTCGAGCAATGCCACAAAACCTCCTCTAGAAGCGCGTTTTAGATTCAGTATGGCTTCGGCAGAAACATAAGAGCATACACTTCCCCTCAGGATCTCTCTTTGTAAAATTTTGAAAATTCTTTACTTCTTCTACCACGGGAAAACCACGTTCAACATATCATACAGCTTTCAACTGCCCTAACGGTGTCCATTAACCTCTGCTGATCATGTCGTAAGCTCCTGTCCTCCCCAGATACGTTCTGTTCCAGCTGACCTTGTACTTAGCTACGCTCATTCATCTCGACAGCTGGGATATAAAGTCACATTCTCAACCAATCCAGTCCCGAGATCGAGCTTAAGCAACACAATCGGAGATTGGACCGACGAGCAGCAAATGTCCGTTGGAATTCAGCCGTTCGAAGTTCAAGGACAATCAAACTTATCTCTCCCTGTGCAATCTTTCGGACCCAGCACAACAGTTTACTACTGCTGCAATTGTGGTCACGGACCACAGACTGTCAGGATAAATCCGTGTTGTGGCAATTGCGGAGTGAGGTTCTGTGGTCGTTGTACCATTAACTGCATCAAATGAATCACAACATTTATGATTCTTCCTCCTTCTGACCAATTCATCTGATCACCACGCCAGCAACATGTTTTCTTCGCCATTCTGTCTTATCATCACTTCACTTACTCTATAAGCGATTGTTGTCCTCTCCTTTATGGAGCTTGCCGTCATTCTGAAATGTGAGGTAGCCGCAAATTACGAACAGGTTGCAGGGCTTTACTTTAGACTGTTTGGTTGCTGCGAAGCGCGTTTAGCAAGCATAGCTTTGCGAGGGAGTCATTTTCCATCTTTGAGTTGAGCTTGGATGGCATATGGGGGCGGTGTGATGCGGTCAGGTCTTATCAGAATTTTGGAAATTCCAAATCTTGGCGATTGCCCGCAGATGCACATTTGAATCCAGCTCCGTTTCCCTACCGAGCAACAGCACAAGACCTCATCAGGCATTCGATTAGAAGGTTCTTACTCCTGACTAGCACAATCGAGCAGGAGTTTCTACCTCCCAACTCCTTGTTCAACAATGTCATTTCCTCATTTCCAATCGTACCATTCGATCTCACAATCGGAATCCAGGCATACCAATCGTAAATGCACATCTAAAATGCCTGAGCAAGTTCACTAATGCAATCGCTTCATAGCAGAACCATTCGCCTAATGCTGTTGCCTAGGATCTACGTCAGAAAAACTTGTCGGCCACCGGCACTCAGCCATGATATGAGAGCTCTGTTACCACTGCCTTGAATAGGACACAATATTACAAGGCCGAGGTTACACAGCATACATGCCTGGACTTGTGCTACCTACAATGGTTCCTCGCAAGGCTGAACCTCAGCCTTCACCCCCCCAAGCTCCACTAACCCTGCTCGGCCACGTGTATTGAGGTTGACAGCTGCAGGAAGTCGAAGCGGTGAGGCTTGTATTCTGGCCCCTATTTTGCATACATATCTGTTCAGCAGGAGGATCAGCTGAAAAGTCACCTACTTGTTCATGAAAGCAATGACCCCAATTCTTCACGCCAGGTGCCAAGGACTTGTTGTGCTACAAGCCTACTAACTCGATGGACTACTGGTACGGTTTGACGAATCACAAAGTGAGATCCCGAGATTCCACGCTTACTGGCGAGGTCGAATAAAGGTGTTGATGACGCATGACCAATAGCCACACACAACAGGGCATACTTAAGGGACCTCACACGTGGGAACGTTCTTCAGAATCAGCCTTGTACCACACACCTTGCCTCCGCTTTAGCGAGAAGTCTTACCAGATCCTGCCGTCCATCACGTTTCAACACAACCTCTAGTGACCTCAACCTGCCTCGGAACATTTCTAGCTCTTTTGAAGTTGCGGTAGGTAGCATTCCCTGCTGTGCTACCGTTACCTCCTCTCACAGCTTCCCGAAAGGTCTTTCTAAGCTTGGACTCTAAACTCCTTTCGTCCATTCCCTTCTTCGAGGGATTCGGCCCCTTTCTAAGGATTGTACTTCCCCTCCCTCCCCGTCGCCCCTGTCCAGCAAAGCTTTGCGGCCGACATTGCAAGGGTGCATCATGGCTAGATTCGTGCCTTGAAGAGACGTGCAAGGAACCAAGCTTCCTTGCATAAGCGAATTATGATGCGAACGACCCAGCACAACATATCCCGATCCATGCAAGATTGATTATGTAGCTCGAACCTATGCCAGAAACGAGATCCAAGATCAGTTAGGTTGGCAGCAGATCTACCCAGGCACGTCTCCAGTCGCAATCATCCCAGACTACTGTCTACCACTAACATCCTTGCGTGCGTCCAGAAATCTTGGCATCACATTCCTATCACCAACACAGAACTCATAACACTCAAAAAAACTTTCTACTTTCTCTCTCCGCCTTCTTGCCCCTCACACCGCTCACCTTTGGTATGGGACGATCTCCACCCTAGCAGCGAGCCTGCCTTACCGACCATCGGTCAGAAAAGAATGAAACCTAATATTAGACTGTGATTCACCGCACGCGCTCTCCGCTACTCCAGAGCCATGACGTAGAAGGAACTGCTGCCCCTTCTATCCCAGTCATCGGTCAGAACAGCCGGTCAACATGAATCTTTTGCATGGGTCCTAGGACGGATTACCGACTGGCAGGCTCAGCCGAGGAAGCGAGAGATGTGTGGATGGGCTTCATCGGTGATTCTCTATCCCCCGCCTGCGTGCGATAGAGTGACGTGGGGCGTGGGACAGTAGAGCGTAGGACGTGGGGGCGGAGAGGACTAGTTTGCTTGTTTTCTTGTTGTTCTTTTTGCCACAACCCATCCCATACTGGACCGAGTGTGCTGGCAGGTAAGCCGATCGAGTGCTGGAGAGATAGAAAGAAGGGGGAAAGGCTGTAATGGCTCTGTCGTAGGTTTTCGTTGCATATAATGTATGTAAAGCCTATAACAGATCTGTTTGATGTCTGGGTGGTTTTGATCCACCAGAGTACTACCATACATCATAGGATACATGAGATAGGCACGACGGGAGCAGAGGCTAGTATGTGTCTGAGCAATCCACCGAGGACAGCAAGGATTGAATACTTTGGCATGCGCAAGTTGCGTCTACCGCTGCCCGTAACTAGTTACTTTGCACAAAATCTTCCAGGCCCAGTCCATCTTCAAGCTTCCATCTTCATCTGCCCACTCCTGTCCCAAAGGTAATTTCCACATCTATTTTCCTTGCCAGCCCATCACAAGCACAATAACACGTCTTCTCGGCTGATCGGGATAAGCTAGGATTTTTCTGATGGTGTAGTTTCGATGGCTGCACCATCTGTCTCGATGCTTCCGTTCTTGTCTCGAGGCAAGTTCCTCATTTTGTGAACAGTGTCCTGCTCGTCGCGGACAGCCTATGCTTTTGCTCCATCCTGATACATAGAGCACATTGTCTCAATAGGAATCAGCCGAGCGGACCCTGTGCATTGCTGGTTGGAGTGGCCTTCGTTCCATTACCTGACTGAATAGTATCATCTTTTGTTTGACCCAATCTTTTCCCACCCACTGACCCTATACACCATGCTCTGTGCGTAAGGTTTCGGAGGACATGCTGAGATAGTGATTCAGCTCGTGAAGATCTGGAAGTCCCAAAAATGTGTCTTGAATTTATTAGAGTAAGAGTATGCTTTCCACTTATCAAGATCTCAAGACCCCCAAATTGTGCCTTGAATTTGTCAGAGTAGAAGTATACCTCCAACTTACCAAGATCTCGAGGTCCCCAAGATGTGTCTTGAATTTGTTAGAATGAAAGTATGCTTTCAACTTATCGAGATCCAGAAGGAAGATATGTCTTGAATTTATTAGAGTCAAGGTATGCCTTCATCTTATCAGATCTAACCAGAAGGTCTACTCGACAGATCTGCTCAGAAGCACGTGTCTGCAAACCACCCCTTTTCATGGTCACCATTCACTAAATCCTAGCCTTCAAAAAGGAGCGTTTTCACCGGAATTGATTCCAACTCGACAGAATCAAGCACCACGGGGAGCACCATGAGAAGCAGTCTTTGGTAAAGGAGCAGCATTACCTGAATCGATTCCAATTCGACATCATTTGGCGCGTTGGCGTGTTGACGATGAAACTGGAAATCCTTGGAGTGGCGCACACAGGGCGGCGAAGCGTAAATAATAAGACATGTTTTGAGACGTGTTACATTTGAAAAATAACCTAGCGATGCCAAGGTATTTAACCAAAACTCCGTATTTTTTGTAGTGTTGACGCTCACAAGGAGATCAGACACGGTATTGTAAAAGAGAGCCGCACTCTGCGGAAGACAGCTGTCTCATTGTAAGAAAGGTTTGATAAAATAGCCCCGTAAGGCCGAAGGAAAGAATTCCTGAACTCATGATGGAAAGCCGATCTCCTGGGATAAAAGCAAACCAACGTTGTGAAAGACTACTAAAGTGGCTGTTAGCAGTAGCCGCAACAGCAGATCACTTCTTGCATGGCTTTTCCATAGGTAAAGAAGGCGTAAGTGACAGAATCCTGAGTAGCAAGTCCGTTACTAGTGTTGGCCAAAACTTGGTTATAGGGGAAGATCAAGTCGAAGCTACCGGCTGCGAGGCTGTTGAGCGTACTAGACTCAAAAGTGAAATGAGTCTCACTTCAACCCGCCGACACCTCACCTCGCCCGAAGATCGCCTTCGCGAACTCTGTAATACAACAAGGAATGATACAAAGCACAAGCAAAGGGCACTTACGAAGTTGTGGACCCTATGAGGCTGGCGAGGTTGAAGAGGAGAGGTGTAGAATATTTGTGAGCAAAAGAATTTAAATTTCGGAGAGTTGTTGATAAGACCGCAAATCAGTAGTGGGAAATTCCCAAAACGTACTAGTGCACCTGGGTGCTGAGCGGAGCGGGCATGACTGATAAGCAGGCAAAGCGGTGTTTGGGGAGCTGTACGGGACTCCTAACACCTGGCAAGGGTTCTAGTGACGCTAGGAAAGTCGGCAGATACGGAAGACTGTTAAATTCCAGAGATTATGATTTCGTTCCTGAAGTATACTGTGCGGTAGGCGAGCGCGGATATAGCTATGTTGGCAGAATGGGTCAAATTCTGAGCAATACCATCTGTCCTCTAGAGCCGCTGCTCGAGGTGATTTTCTTTGATTCGACCTACCACATGCCCTTGAATACTCTACGAGCTGAATTTTCCGAGGTTGGGATTATGTTGTCCGGCAATCACTTCATGGTATTACGAGACTGGCCGCGGACAGAATCTACAGGAAGGTCCGTTCTTGGAGGCCATCTGATGTTTGAAAATGGCATTCGATTGTACTGTGGTTCAAGGGAAAGACATGTTTCATCAATCAGCAGGTGTGTATGTTGATGAAGAATATCGCATGGAGATAGACATAAATGAAGGAGTAAAACGCAGCACTTTTCTCCTGTACAGAACAAAGTTTTTCCTCCATTACTACATACAAATCCCATCGTAGCCGAGCGCCTGGGTGATGAGAATGTTATCCATTGCTTTGGTCGCTATGCCCTTCATCACCACTAATCTGCAGAGCTTCCACGAAGAAGAACGACACCCAACGACGCCCATAACAACTATTATCATCAACCAGATGCAAAACGCCTTCATTCCTTGTTTCCTTGCATCCACTACCTCGATTTTTGTTTCGACCATTGCCGCTCAAAGCCTCAATTTGATTAGCATAGCGCCGGTCGCCAGAAGACATACACACAAACTTACAATGTATTGCTAATCCTCATAATTGCGTTCCCAATGATTCATGCCGGATTGAATTGCTAGACTAGAAACTCGTGTGCGCTGGAAAACAAAGAAACTAAACAGGTTCCAAAGCGCTGCCGTACGGCTTTCACGACAGCCTGAGCGCATAGGAACAATTTCCAACATCGAAAGTCACGAAACGACAAGCAATGAGGTTAGAGGTCACCAGAGGCTTTTCTTACTCGCAGAATATCAAAGAAATCTCTGGACTCACCCTCCCTGAACGGACCTTCAGCTAGCTGAGGTCGGACAACATGCCTTGGGCGTATGTTTGATTGAATTTTTTTAAATTTTGGAGTTTGTTGAGATTTAAAGGGCGGCCGCTCGTGCTGCTCAATAGCAGGCAACTCGAACAGCGTGGGCCGGTGTCATGACCTAACCACCGAGTACGGCCGCAATGAGGAAACTGGCGATATCATAGAGTCAGCGTCCTGAGTTTTCGCTTGGTTGTTTTATAAACTCACACTACATCACAACTTTGATGCCTGCCCTACCAAACAGTCCGAAGGATTTTAAAAACCAAGGCAGGGGTTGAACGTGACCGCACGATATGACCTGCGAAGCAAGCCATCCTGCTCATCGAACGGTTTGACGACAACATCCCTTGGGGCTCCTCATGGAGGGACTGCAAGGTTGGCAGCTTCTGCGAAAAAAAGGAAATAGCCTCGTAAGGCCCGAATTCTCGTCTGAGGGAAAGCTTACCAGCGGACTGGAAGCTTTCTTTTCGGGGAAGTCAAGCAACACCAACTCTGCCATCAGACGCACAAAGCAGACATGCCCAACATGGCAGACAAAGAAGGAATGTATTCAACTACGTAAGTGGGATTCGAAGGTAGGGAGCAGTCGTAGGAATTGAAGGAGACAAGTAGCGCCCTAGCCTGAGTGCTAGATTGTTATCGGGATGCTGAACAATAGCTGGTAGCATATATTCCGGGCTTTGATATGATGCCTTCTTCGTGGTTTAGAAATAGATCTAGAGCTTTGTTAGCTTCTGTCACGCCGGTCATTCTGTTTGTGTAAAGCAACATTGCCGTACAGGAGCGATGTATAACGATGGAAAGTGTGGGGTGAGACTCACAATAGCGCATTCCCAGGTGTCCAGAACATTTTTAAAAACCAAATCTGAGCTCTTGCCCAGGCAAGATTCAGACTCTCGTTAGAGATAAGAGTAAGTGCGATGGCTTGCCCCCGTCGATGGGCGGGAACACATCGTTGGCCACCCACCCTATATTGGACCATGTCGTTAGGGGACTTTGGGCTTGGCTATCATCGTTGGGAAGGAGACAATTTGAGTGGGGTTGATGCTGTAGCGGTTGAAGAATTCAAGACGTCAGCCGAGAATTGGCCACGAGGCTTGTCAGGATTCTCTGATTGGGCATGGCACGTACAGGGAAAGCTCGGCTGGATGTACCCCAGCTCGAGTACTCAGTTTGTTGTAGGTAGACTTTGAGCACCCCACAAAGGGGTGGAGCGCTGAAAGGACCTGCCATCGGGGCGGTCCGACACGTACAGGGAAAGCTCGGCTGGCTGTACCCCAGCTCGAGTACTCAGTTTGTTGTAGTGTAGACTTTGAGCACCCACCAAAGGGGTGGAGCGCTGGAGGGACCTGCCATCGGGGGCGGTCTGGCACGGCTTTGTAAGCGAGGAGGCTCAATAATGATTGTTGAAGAGGGAGGTGGCACACAAACCTTTGCAAGTAAAAAAGAAAAAGAGCCGGACACAAACCTAGTGGTTGGTCAAAGATGATTCGCGTCTGACGAAAACCTGAACAAGAACCATGATCTATGAGACTTCTGTCAGCACTTTCAACCCTGCCTCAACTAAGTAGCAGCAAGATGAAAAGCCCCCGGTGACCTTTTCACTGCTGATGAAATACTAAATCAGAGGTGAGTCGGGGTGAGTCGAGGATGAGGGACGTGACATCAGGTCGGTTGGAGTTTGATGTACGAAACTACTGTTCACGTCAGTAGATAAAGTACAAACAGTGGATGCGCCAGCATGAGGTGGGAAATTTGTGCTGTCTCCGTTATCGGTGACCAGTTGGTGAGAAGATGAATTTTATTCCATGAGACAGATATTTCTCAGCGAAGCAATCGCCCCTTGCAACACTGCTGTAGATGACAGAGGAGTAGGTATCAGTGATGGAGATTGATGTAGAATATCTGATCAGGTTGAGTGGTAATAGTTAAAGGTCAAGAAACTGTGAATGTTGTGTAAACTTGCGGCCTGAGTGGTAAAGAAGTTTAATCATCGAAGACTCAAAAGCTTGGCATCACAGGCTCACAGCCAACCAAGAGAAACACTATTCAAGGAGATTGAAGGAAAGGGCCGTTTGAAGTTGCACTCTTATGTTAACGGGTAGGACAAGGAAGCATAAGCAGCTTACGGTATGCAGAAATTAAAAGCAGAGAAATGTACAAAATGAGCCCATTCGCCCCTAGTTGTAAGAAATGTACAGAGGTTGCAAATAATACTAAGATACTCCGCACAGCAGAGCCGATTAGGGGTATCTATCAACATTCACCTAGGAAAGGTAAAGCGCCATTCGGCTCAATGCCACACTCGCTGCCCATATGCACAGGGGTAATGCCTATTATGTACTTTTGACATGCCCGGATCCTTCGAACATGCATTCATATCGCGTAGTTTTCAGCGTGCAGGAAAATCTCGTCCTTGCCAGGATCGGACCAAACGTCATGCTGGAGCTTGGCCACTGTATTGGCAACATCTGTCCTCATGCTTGGAGGTCCGCACACAAAAATGCAAGTCCTTCGACCAAAGTCTTTGGAAAGCTCTTTGAGCGCGTAGGGTATGTCCGGCCGTCCGTACTCGGTTCGCCAGCCATCGCTCCGAGTGGTCGGCAGGAAGGCGAAGCGCATGAGGTTCTTTTGAAATTTGGTTGGTGTTTGAGGGAACCCAAAGTCAAACACCTTAGATTCGGCAGGGGGTGGAGCTGGCTGAGATTTTCGTTTCGATGCTTTCCGCGGCTTCTCTCCAACAGCAAATCGAGGGGGAGCGAGGAAGACTGGTGGAAGAGCAGTGATACTGTCCTCATTCTCATCTCTTAGCTCCCGTTCTCGATCAGGATCGCCATTAGCATCCGCCATAATAAGGGCAGAGTTTCTCTTGCTTGCCACCCCTTGAAATACATCGTTGACCTTGTCATGGAGCAGGTCGCTGTGAGGTCTTGAGCGGCTGGGTTTTGGTTCCTTGTCGTAGCGCTTGGACGCTGTTATGAAGAATGAACAGTGGATAGAATCTGCTGGTGCATATTCCCTGCAAATCCGGAGCTCTTCTTTAAACCACTCCATGGTCTCAGGCCTCTTAAGTGCCCAGATGACGCGTACTGTCTTTGTGACAGCCTTGCCGTCCCGCATTCGCTTGATCAGGTCCAGTAGCTGGCTGGCTATGGCAGTAATTCCACTTCCACCGGCAAAGAAAACTACTTGATCGAATGAGGCCATCTCCCGCTGCATACCACCATAAGGACCATCGATGAAGGCACGATAGGTTTTGTAAGGTCCCTTCTCGACAGCTGTATTGTAGACTTTCCTGGTAAAGCCACCGAAGGGTCTGAAAACCAAGATCATATCCCGATATTCCTCACCATACTCTGATGGGAAGTCGTCACTGCATAATGATGCAATTGTGAATGGATGATTCTCAAAGAATGAGATTCCCGGCATCCTCAAGTAAACATACTGGCCTGGCTTCCATTTTTTCTGTGTTGGGATCGTGACTTTAATAGCATTTTCAGGTAGAAGCGTGACTGCAGACTCCTCACCGATCAGCCACGACATTCGAAATGGGTTCGTCCAGTTGAGGTAGAATAGCCGACACAGATAGGACAGAAACCAGATCGCGATAGTGGCGTACAGATAGTTCCAAGATCTAAGGTAATTGTTGCAATGCCAGAAGAGCATTCCCACAAAAACCATGGAGACAGGTACATGCAGCGCCACAAAAACCTCGTACATCCATGTTCGCAGAAAGGGCAGGGAATGGATACAGAGGAAGGCCAATGGCACTAATGCGGCAATACCGGTGGTAAAGATGTAATATTGTTGTGTGAAGTAAAGCTTGTATGTCTCAAATCCGCCGCGGTCTCGATGCGCTTGGATATAGAAAGGAATGGTGTGAATCAGTGCCATCAGGAGGCAAAGGTATCCGCCCCATCGATGGAGCACGTTCAGACGCTCATGACCAATACCTGTTAGGAATGTGATGAAATTGACCTTCATGCTGAGACCAATAATCCATGGCATCATTGCTACTGAGATCATACCCGCTCGGATTGCGAGGGGTGGAGAGCCATAGCTGATGCTGTTGTAGTAAAATGGCTGGGGTACGAAGGTGTACAGGATGCAAAAGATCAAAGATATGGCAACGACCGCTGTAGCTCCTAGTGAAGGAAACACGATGTAAAGTCTTCCAATTCTGAGTGCTGGAACTGGCCGATAGAAGATCCACCTGAACAGGGACACGATGTTGTTTAGTGGCGCTATTGTCGATATGGCGGACTCCTCCTTAGGCTTCTCCGGTAGCTTGCCATTGGAGGGAAAGAAGCGTTGCGTCGATCTGAAGGTTCTGGCGCTGGTCAACTCATACTCCGGCTCAGGTGAGAAGACCGTGGCTGAGTTGATCACGTCCTCTTTATACTGTGCTGTTCGAATCTTGTCTCCCCAAAGGTGGTAGCATCGTAATGCTGTGGCGAACAGCAACAGAATGATAGACAGATATACCCATCCAAGACCATACTTGCCCGACTGCGCCCAAGGATCTTGCTGGCTTGCATCACGAAGGCCTTGTGGGCTTGTACTGTTTATGGGAATCTTGATCCTCTTCACCAGGTCCAATGCCACATGTTGTGCAGCCATAATAAAGTTCCCGTCATTGGGAAGCACTTCCGCAAATGCGACCATGCTCGAATTGCTTTGCAAACGGTATTCTATCGGTTCAGTCCCAAAATGTTATGATCGACATGTGATAGCTTGCTTGTTGATCTCCAGGCGAATACAGCCTGTTTCTTTAATTCTTGCGCTTCAGGAACGCTATGAGGATGTGCTGATTTTCGCCGAGCTTCTTCACCACCCACAATGATATCTCGACAAGGATGTTGAAGCCTGCGCTCGTAATCCTGGTGTACCAGAGGTCGAATGTCTACACAGTGAGGCTAGACTTTGGACTGGAGTGCACATTGACGGAGGAAACCAGCTGCCTGGAAGCCAACCTAACTAAGCGAGAGACTGGAGCTCTATGACCCGGCGGTGCTCGATTCGTGATGTGCTGCTTGGAAAGAATGTGCAGTCCGGATCTCTCTTCTACTCAAGAAGTGTGGGGTATCTTCATGACGGACAAGCGCCTGAGCGTTCCACTATCGAAAGTTGAGTCGCTAACGATGTGACGAGAGTAAAGGGAGGAGACCACGCCGTCAAGAAAGAGGAACACCTTGGAAGTACTCCGTACTGTCAGATGGGTTTGCAATAGGGTCAACCGTGAGACCCTTTGTGATCAGTAACAAGTGCATCTAGCAGGAGGACTATCGCAGCTATCGAAGCGGCTGTTCTTGGAGACAGATTGGGCACCTGGCCAGTTCGCCGTAGCATGGCTGGCAACATAGGGTCCAACGCAATGTTGCACAGGGCCCGTTGTATGCTGGCTAACGGTGGTGATGGGGGATGAGGTGCAGACTGGATCGTGATTCGATCATAGGTCAGGTACAACTGCAGACCGAAGTTTTCGTGGACAAGGGCGGGACGAAGAGTGGCCAGTGAGAAACAACTTGTAAGCGCTGGCAGGGTTGTCTAGGCCCTTGGATTGACCACTCGTTCTCTTAGTCTGTGACGTTGAGTTTTCATCCTTGATAACTTAGCCTTTCTGGGACCGAAGGACCCATCGGACCCAACTTGCTTCGTACAATGTGCTGCCGGGCCGTGGGGTCCGTGCATTAACTTGCGGCCATTGTCACACAGCGCTGGAGCTGTTCAATGTCTGACCTCCGAACACGTTGTAATGAAGCATCCTAGAGAGACTGCAATTCGTGTACTTTTCTTAGTCCATCCACATGCTTCACGAAGGAAAGCACCTTACTGAGTGCAGCATGGCGATTTCAATATGCGTCTGATGGAAGTGACGGTTGTCTCAGAGCTGGCCCTCCGATTCTGAGCAAGATGATACGAAGAATCAAGAATCACTGTACCAGCTGGGGAACGATTGTTGCGGTTTATTTATCCGATGGGAGAACATTTTATGCATATTAGCCGCCAAAATTCTCGTTTGGGTCGCTTGTAGGATCCTTGCAACACAAATTGTTAGACTTCATCCGCGGCTTCAGGAGAGATCGAAGTTTACCTTCCCCACTAACTGCCGCATGCTTGATTGTGGCCACCATGTTTCGTTGTGTACTACGTATGATGTCTACTACGTAGGTGGCCGCTCTGACCTGACCTATTCTGGAACACTAGTCCTGAGAAGAAGGCTTTCAGCACACGGACTCCATGGCTCGAAGATAGCTAGGGCATACAAAATCACATTGCTGAAGAGTTGAGAAGAAAGTCAATGCAGTGGAAAGGGTCGACAAAACGAGATTTATTTGCAGGAAATTGTTCAAGGTAGTTGGATATCAATAGGTGTACATAATGAATAATCGTGTACACGCAGGTTACCAAACTAAGATACGGTTGCTGAAGTCATTTTTGCACCACCATCAAAACAGTACAATTTACAGTTTCGCAGCGGGGCCCACGGAGGTGATCTCGTTGTACAGCAGTCTAGAAAGCAAGTCAGTAAAATGAGGCTATAGAAAGGCAGAGTGTGGAAACGTACGAAGTTAAAAAGTCAGCATAGTCTTCTCCAACAATTTGGCCAGAGAAGTACTGAGCAGCCAGATGATATTTGTTGCCTTTAGGAGCCTTGCTTGCCAACTCATCCGTCTGTTCCTTCAGCAATCTCTGAGCGTAGGCTTTGTCGACCGTCTTCCCTTCCGCTGTCTTCACGCCGTGACGGCACCATTGCCAGAGCTGACTCCGGCTGACCTCGGCGGTTGCAGCATCTTCCATCAAATAATTGATTGGCACACAGCCAATACCTCGAAGCCAGCCTTCCATGTAGCCAAGACCGATGTTGAGGTTTTTGCGAATGCCTTCCTCCGTGATCTTGCCAGGCATGTTCATATTCAGAAGGTCATTGGCAGTAACGTGCACATCTTCGCGCCGGTTGAAAAGTTGATTGGGAGTGGGCATGTGCTTATTGAACACCTCGGCTGCGATCGAGGCGAGTGCCGGATGAGCTACCCATGTACCATCGTGACCAGCTCGCACCTCCCGGAGCTTGTCCTGGCGAACGTTGTTCATTGCGGCGTCGTTGGCTTCCTTGTTGTCCTTGATGGGGATTTGAGCAGCCATGCCACCCATCGCGTGGACACCTCGTCTGTGGCATGTCTTGATGAGAAGCCTAACATATGAATCCATGAAAGGTACAGTCATGGTAACAGCTGACCTGTCTGGCAAGACGAAATTGGGGTTTTGCCGAAACTTCTTGATGACGGAGAAGATGTAGTCCCATCGACCGCAGTTCAGACCAGAGCTATGATCCCGCAGTTCATATATGATTTCATCCATCTCGAAAGCTGCGGTAATGGTTTCAATCAAGACAGTTCCGCGGATAGTGCCTCGGCGCATGCCGATATAATCCTGAGCGAGATTGAAGACGTCGTTCCACAAACGAGCCTCAAGATGCGACTCCATCTTAGGTAGGTAGAAGTATGGTCCAGTGCCTCTGTTGACAAGTTCTTGAGCATTATGGAAAAAGTATAACCCAAAGTCGAACAGACTGCCAGAGATTGGCTCGCCGTCAACAGTGAAATGTTTCTCATCCAGGTGCCATCCTCGTGCACGCGCGATGAGCGTGGGCAGAACTCTATCTGTTCGCAGCTTATATTCCTTTTCGCCTTGCTTGAAGTCGACCTGCTTTCGAATCGCGTCATAAAGATTAATCTGGCCATTGATCATATTTTCCCAGGTAGGAGCACTTGAGTCTGAGAGCACCTGTTAGCTGTCCCCTTGGGCCAACATAACTGGTTCATACCTTCGAAGTCGGCCATGTAAGTCCAGACATTCGAATTGAGTGCATTCACCACCATCTTCCGATCCGTTGGACCGGTGATTTCTATCCTCCGATCCACCAGACCTGGTGCTGGCGGTGCCCCTTTCCATGCATCATTCTCTCGGATATGCTTGGTCTCTGGCAGAAAGTCGGGCAGAACACCTTTGTCAAGCTCCGCTTGTCGGATAGCTCGTCTCTGGAGGAGATTCTTTCTTGTAGCATTGAATGATCTGTGCAGCAGAGCTAAGAAAGCAGTGGCCTCGGGAGTTAGGATCTTTTGGGCCTGTTTGCTGATGCTGCCGTGGATGGCAACGCCTTCGTTGACTGCTTCAATACTAGCCATGATGAGACACTTTTGAAAATCAAATACAGTATCAAATTGATCGATTGAACCTAGGATTCAGATGGAGAAATAGGAACTCTTTTAGTATAAATACGTCACATGGAAGCAGTAACGAGCTCATTAGCACATGTCTAACCCGCGGCCAAAATCCCGACGGTGTTGCTACCGCCTGTCCCAGCTACTCGGTCTGTCCACTGCAAGTCCGTAAATGGGAGCCGCAGCCAATAACGGCTCTTCGTAGTGAATCCAGTGCTGAATAGGGAAGGAAAGTACGATGCCGGCTTCTTTCGTTCAGCAAGCTGTGGGGTAGGGAAATGGTGGGGAAAACATGGGGATCTTCAAAGGGTTGAAAGGGAAAGCCTCTCTTGGGTGTAGCATGCTGGATCAAAATACAGGGATTACCTTCAATCAGATGAACTCTCTGGCTTTGGTACATGACTTCTAATCAGTCAAACACATCGTCAAGAAGGCCTGACCGTGCTGGTGAGGTTTGACCCACTGAAATTGTCTTGGTGCCGAGGTTCTCCAAGTCCAGATCCTTAGTGTCAACAGATCCGAATCATCCCGAGACCCAGCCTCTACGGAGAGATCTCCGATCGGCGGTCGCGATGCTGCTTTTGCAGTGAATGGGTACTGAGTAAGCGGACCCGGCCAATACAACCGGCGTCGAATAGTAGAGTAATGATTATTAACTGTGCATGACACTTTTATGTTGATTCCCATCTTAGCTGCGCACTTCATGTGTACGTAGTAAGAACTTGGTTTTTCTGCTGGCGTACTGAGTGTACTGTGCTCACACCTTCACAGGCAAACCTGACTCATCCTTGAATAGCATTTCCATCATCCTCAGCACATAGTTCCATCCTTACCAGAACATTGCATATACTTTGCACCCAAGCTCGTTCTATTCCTTATGTCGTCAGATGTATTGCCAAGCGCCTCTCTCCAAGTCCGTCTCATCAACTGTCAAAGCATCGAAACCCAGGCAAGCTGCTAGATCGCCCTCAGGTGCCGTTGCGTTACCGACTGCTGCGAATACTTGGTAGCCTTGATCTTCAGTTGGACATGCCATAAAGCCTGTTGCACCAAACGCATGCGTCCCTAGCGATCCAAACTGTGCTCCGTCGGTTTTGGAGTAGGTAAGGTAACCACCAATAAGGGCTCCTGCAGGGTATCTTGCTGAGTGAGCTTGTGTAAAACCAAAACTGCCATCGCTGCGGGCGTAGATGGCTTGGCCACCTGGGACGAGTGCGCTCTGCAGACGATTAGATATTGAGGGGCAACATGTGAGCAGAGGCTAACCAGTCCACCTAATCCGGCGAAGATTGTGTCAAACCCCGAAGGACAGCTCGATAGAGGAGGCTGAGGGCAGTAAGCTCCTGGAAGACCTCCGAGGTAGAAGTTTTGATTGCGGGCTTGCATAGAAAGCAGATGAATTGGAGATCCAGATCGAACGGAAACAACACTATATGGTATCGACGGTGAGCTGATTGCAGCTGAGGAAGTGGTTGCAGCTGGCTCTTCTGTACAGGTGGTTGTTTTTGTTGGAACTGCGGCGGCAAACGCAACCAAAAGTAGGGCAGAGTTGAGGAAGATTAGGAGGTGCATACCGAAGACGATGAAAATGAATCTGTGCAGAAAGAAACAATCTAACAAGCAGAATCCAGTCGTCGGTTAAAGAAGAGACGGTCAGGATGCCACCCGAAGAAAATTTTGAACAGAGGAAAGTAAGAACGAGCCAGTTATTCTTTCAGGGCAAGGTATTGCAACCATCATACATTCCTTCACACGACCACGATTCACATTCCTCGAGTCGCTCTCACTGCCGCATTCAGCATGACGACCAGCCACACCAAGTTAAAGGTAAGACCCAAGGGTCACCAATCACACTACTCCCGGGTGTTACGTGGTTTCAAGGTGTTCTGGCCTTACTTGTAGCAGAAGCACAGGGCACGTAGATCTGACAATTACAGTAGGGGCAACAGCTTGTGATATTGACCAGCGCTCCCAGTGACCTGTCGCAGACTCATCTCAAAGTGAGGAACAGAGTCATCGTAACCATGGTGTTACGTTGTAAGTGAGACGGTCGGTAACTTGCATCAGGTAACTATTCGTCCCAAGTTGCTATCGTCATCGGCATCACCATCGCAATACTACTCGTAGTTGGCCTGTTTTGATGGCGGAAAACCGCAATATCGTTTCGATTCCGGGTAGCGAACAGGAAGGACCGGTAAACATGTATGCGGGCTCGAACTACGGGAAGGGGGATGTGGGCCTGGATCACCACAACCGGATTATTCGACTGAGATGGTCAGTAGGCAGGGCATGCCGGAGATGGATATCGGAATGGGCAGGAGTCCGCTGCGAGGGATAAATGCAATGACAACGGGTGTGGTTCCCAAGTCTGACGCTGCAGAGCTGCCAGCCACAAACGGGGAGCCAAAATTGGCTCGTCTGAGACAGTGATAAGGGAAGAAGGGGTACGTGTATCTACATGTAAAATCATGTACTCTTTCCTCATATCTCTATCCATGCCAAACCGCAGATAATCTCTCAAATCTGGATCATCATAACCTGGCCTCCCCTCTCTCCAACCTCCTCCACCCCTCCTCCGTAAACTCCACATAACCATCCATCTCCCTCCCTTCCCCCAACCAAAGGAGTCCATCATCCCTCCCTTCCTCCCCAGCCTCCAACCCCCTTCTCCGCGGATCCACCCCCTCCCTCCTCAACAACACTTTATTCTGCTTCAGATTATGAATGTGAGCACTCTTCCTCACCACCCGCACGAAAACCGGGACCGCGTATTTCGGCAATCGAGCCTTCGCAAACCTCAACAGCGCATTATAATCAAACCCTTCCTTCTTACTCTCCTCGACGAGTAAAGCCGCGCAACCAGCCCTACCATCATGATTGGGCACAAGCACACCATAGACGTTTGCTTCCACCACACCGGGGAAACGGCCAAGGACTTCCGCCACTTCGGCGGTGGAGACGTTCACGCTCTTCCAGCGGAAGGTGTCTCCTAGCCGATCTAAAAAGTACCATCTCCCGTCTGGCAGGCGGCGGAGCGCGTCGCCGGTGCGGTAGTAGATATCGCCCTTCTTGAAGACGTCGTGGATAAATTTCTTGTCGGTTGCTTCTTCTGCGTTCCAGTAGCCTTGGAAGGCTTGTTTATTGGGAACTTTCACAAGGATCTCGCCGCCTTCTTCGTATTTTGTGCGCTGTGCGAAGCCAGTGGCCGGGTCACGCCATACGTCGCCTGTGTCGTGGTCGATGAGGACGGGGATGTAGATGTTGTGGAGAAGCGCTCTCATGATCAAGCCGTGGTGTCCGACACACGGACCTAACCACCCACCCTTGTCCCAATTCTGGAGGATAAACATACCTTCCGTTGAATTGAAAAACTCAAAAATCTCGGAGATATTGAACCTCGTTCTAAACCGCTCCCATACATCGGCCCTCAACCCGTTCCCGAACGCGCCTCGGATCTTGTGATCTCTCTCAAGCGGATCGGGGCGTGCATTTAACAGGTACCGCGCCGTCTCGCCCACATAGACGAAGATAGTAGCTTCAGAATCATGGATATCCCTCCAGAATTTGGAGACGGAGAATCTCTTGCCGATAGCGACACTCACTCCCTGGAGCAAGCAGCTGATACTAGAAAACGCTCCTGTCCCGTGGTACATGGGCATACAGACGTACCATCTGTCTCCGCCTGCGCCAGGTCGGCCGTCAAAGGAGGGTCTAAGATGTGCGCCCGAAAGACGATGCCGAGAAATGGTAAAAGCAGACGCTTTCGGTAGGCCAGTTGTGCCAGATGTGTATAATAAGCATAATGGGAAAGAACCTTTTGTACCGGCGCGGCAGCTGTCCGAGGGTGGATCTATTTGGATTCTGGAGATTGTATGCTTAAGACTAAAGTCGAGGATGTGGATTGCCATTCCCATTTGGTTTTCGATGTTGGTGCGACTGTTTTCAACGCGCTGACGGCAAGCTGGGTCTTGGTCGACCAGAAGGAGTCTGGCTCCGCAAATGCTCAGACAGTGTTCTAGAGCTGTACCTTCGAGATTGTAGTTGATGAAGGCTGGCGCGCAACCGATGCACCACGTCGCTAACCAGCAAATGATAAATTCTGGCTGATTCGTGAGGTAGAAGCCGATAAGCTGTCCGGGTTGAACCCCTTGGGACAGGAACCATTGCGCATACTGGATGGCTAGTGCGCGAGTCTCCGTCCAGGTGTATGTGCCTTCTCGTGACCAGAGGCATGTTGCATTTGAATCTTTTGCTGCTGCTGCTTCGAAGAGGTACCAGAAGGACAAACGATCTTCTTTGACTATTGCAGAGGCTTCGGTATTAGTTGGCTAGTACTTTGTTTTCGGCGCTCATGATGGAAGCTAGATAACGGACCAGCTTTATCGTAGTCTCTCTGTGCTCTTTTGAGAAGAATGAGCACATCCAGGTCTTTCCCCAGGTGGTATTTAGCATTCAGGTAAGCGGTGATAGCTGCTCCTCCAGCCACCGCGGCTGTCGCTACTATCTTCATGTAAGCATAGTGATCCCCTAGGATCGAAGTCTCGTACATACCAAGTGCCATACTGAGACCAATTTACGCTCTTTTGAAGGTGGAGCAAGAATAAAGCATTCCTTTGAGCTGTCACTGCTGATTCCCTTGCTACCAAGAGCCTACACCGACTGCGCGAGCCATCCAACAGGTCGCTGCAAGAAGTTCGGTTCCAACTGAGGCTAATGTCGGCATATTCCTGGTCTATGCAGTCACAGATGAGCTGTGCACGCTAATAGGGTCTCAGTAGCTCACTGCCGAGGCTTTCAGCGTGCACAGCTCATCTGTATGTACTATGTAGTACGTAGTAATGCTTGTTCAGTTCCTTTCAGTGCTATTGTGGTTTAATTTAGACGTAGGGAGTCGTGTATTAGAAGTCTTTAATACACACTAACTAGGATGAGTAAGAGCTAGCCTTTCTTTTGCTAGCATAAAGTTAGTGGTCATTAGGGACGTAAAGATAATCAGAAGGAGCGGATGGCTGAAGGTTAACTGACACAGACCTCTGAGCCACATCGATAGCCTAAAGAGGGCCCTAAGGGTCTAAGGAGAAAGAGGGTCATAGCGGTAGCTCTAGGCTCTAACCCCTATATCACATCTTTTACGTCACGCTAAGGCTTAGATCGAGTGTGCTAGTGGCGCTCTAGTTTTAGCGTCTATTGATGACTTTTGATGCCTCCGTTTTCTCAGATCTCCACTGCCGCAAAATAGTCATCTCAGGGTACGGAGTATAGTGTTTAGAAATTATGGTCACCTTTCTTCAAGGACACTCAAAGATATTATGGCTTGTGCCAGGCTGAGTAAATAGCGCCCATGTCCTTGAAATCAGAAGCTTTGCAGCACAATCTGAGCGAAAGAAGCAACGGAATCGGTATTAGTTATTCAAAATCCTTCAGATCGCCTTTTGGAAGAGTCTTCTCATGTGCTCCTCTCTCTGACCAAGTACTTTTCCATTTCCAAGCCTTGGCCTTTTCTTCTCCATTCGACTCACCTTTGAGAACGTTCACTACGTCTTTGCCAATTATCGGTAGAAACTTCCAGCTATGAAACGAGCCAGCCGTGGCAAAATATAGGTTAGACAACCGTGGGTCAGGATGTTGTGTAATCAATTGGTTTTGGTCTGGGGAAATGACGTCCCAGCAGAGCCGCCATAGATCTGGGACTCGTCCGTTATCAAGGATCTGCGGAAGCCGTGCTCTGATAATCTCTAGTGATTGCTCCTTTAGCTTGTCAGGCACATAGCTCTGATCCTTTGAATTTGGTACGGAAATCTTGCGTCCTGAGGGCAGAGTCTCATAATTGGTAAAGGTGTTGGCGTTAGTGAATTTGAACAATCGTTCGTGATTTGGTGGCATCATCTCTCCTCTCGCACCATAGATCAGAATAGGTAACTTCCCATAATGTTCCGCTTCCTCCGGAGACAGCTTGAATGCAGCAACACACACCCCTGCTGCACTGATCTGTCGTTCGATTCTCTGGTCCTCTTCGATGCCTAGAACATCCTCTAACGATGACATCAGCAAGGGCGTCCAAGCACCTGTAGCAAGCAAGATCTTATCAGCAGTATAGAGCTTGCCATCTTTCGTCCTTACTCCTTCAAGACGATGGCCAGAGGAGACGAGTTCTTCGACCTCACCAACCATGTGCTTCACGCCTTTTAAAATGGCCTCATGCATCATTGCTTCTGTAGCGAGGGATGCATCGGTCCACCCAGCACTGGGATTGAGGTATGCTTTGCTATAGTCGGTGGTGTCAATGCCCTTTAAAATTCCATCCCACCTGCTTTTGACCTCCTCAAGACTAATATCTTCGGACTCATCCGGCCTACCACTATTTTTGAAATTTGTGCGTACTCGGTCGGTGATGTCGCTGTCCTTTTCGTCCAACGCAATCCATCCTGTTCGATGGTAGAAGGGTTTCAAGACCGACGAATTGCTCCACGCATTCATGGCTTCATAGGCGAGCTCCATATAGAACGGGCTGCTATAATCGGCGCGAACGATCTTGTTGATGTCAGAGGATGCGGCTTTGGGAGATGGACATGGTGCCCGGTCAAGCACTGTGATGCCTGAAGGGTTTGGATGGGTGCTTGCTAGGTGGTAGGCCGTGCTTGTACCGAATATGCCAGCACCAACAATGAGTATCTCGGATCGCTCAACATCAACCGAGCCCATCTTGACGTCTATGACTAATGCTTTGCAGCTTCACTGAAACATGATTTAGCACTGCAGCCCTCAGATGTCAAGGCTTAGTAAAGTACGTATTGAAACTACTAATCGAAACGTGCTGGGCCTTTGGGCAGATTCGTGCACCGAACTACTGGTACCCTCCGGGACTTGGCGTCGCCTACAGTAAGTAGTAAGGTCAAACCTCCCTCCCTCTCTCTCGTGAACAGACACATTTCCTCCTTCATCCATGCATCCCATTGGGACTGCTGACACTGTGGCTGAGTACGTCAGCCCACTCTCCAGCAAGCTGTTACTTGAAGTGCCTGGCATGATTATCAAAGGCTCTTCCTTCGCATCTTCGCATTGACCGGGATCTACGCGCTGCCAGTAGGCGGCTGCTACGCTGCTGAAACGTCGCAAGTCTTCAACGTGGAATCTTCTGTCCTCCCACACACGAGTTCAGGACAGCGTGAGCACCACTTCAGAAACGAAAGTGCATGCTGACACATACTGATTACTGACCTGATGGTCTTTCCGCTTCCTCGATGTTTTGAATAACAGTCTTGGCAATGCTCATTCATGAACAACTCGAAGGTCATCCCCATTTTCCCCATTTCCTGTTCCTTTCGCAAGGTAGCCATTTCTTATGCTGTATTCCTTTCTTACTATCTACACCATTCCTTCTCTCCTAGTCATCTGTTTGAATAGCCTCGACGGCCTGTACATTTTTCCATTTTATATCTTTCAGTCGCTGTGCGACAGTTTCTACCACTCTCACAACATAAACCCATCACCCCATAATGCATCTTCCCAAGTCATCAGTCTTCGCCCTCACGGCATTACTGCTTCCCAGCGTTCTCGCACAAGTACCCGCCAGTCTCTCTGGTGACTTTAATACCGAGATCCAAGTCAACTTTAACGGCGACTCCTCCTCTGGCTTTGAGGAGGGCGACACCATTCCCTTTGCCGACACTGCCAATCAGCCTGTCTTCGCATTGGGCGATGCGTCCGGCGTCAACACCGCCATCTCTTTCATGGTCATGATGATTGACACCACGGATGAGAACAACTTTATCGTGCACTATGCCCAGACCGACTTCAAAACGACAGGAGAAAAAACATCCATCTCGGCCTCTTCCGACCCTAAAATCCCCTATGCCAAGCCCGGCTCCTTTGGTGAATCCGGAGAACGTAAATACACTTTTCTGCTCTACCAGCAGAGAGGCAGCCGCGAGATGCAGGGTATGCCCAAAGCCGGCGAAAAGATCGACATCACCGCCTTCAATGCCGCCAATGATCTCAAACCACCAATGGCCGGCATAGCTATGAACGTCAATGTTGGCGAACCCTCCGCTGACTCGCCTGCACCTGCTCCTGCGTCTGCGCCTGCATCTACTCCTGCGCCCGCCTCATCCCCCTCGCCAGCATCCACATCAGCAGCCGCATCGGCAGCCACATCGGCCCCTCCAACGACCTCAAGCACCTCTACCACAACATCCACTCAAACAACGACAATGGTGACTACGGCCGAGCCCACACCCAACGCAGACAAGAACATCAGCGGACTTGACGGCCCGACCGTGCAAAAGCCCATCGGCATGCTCATCGGTGGTGGCTTTGTCACGGAACAACCATTCCCCGCTAACGGCACTGCTGGGCCCCCAGTGGTAGCCAATATCGCGGCCTATGTGAACGGGACCATGACGAAGATGTCGAAGATTGCCGGCAGAGGTGTTGCTGCCGGTATGGAGAAACGGGCAGGAGCTGATATCGTTCAAACGAGCGCGTCAATGGCGGCATTGGTGGTGATAGTCGCTGCTGTTGCTTTGGTGTAGGTTTATATTGATGCTAGGATAGGATAGGATAGGATAGGATAGGATAGGATAGGATAGGATAGCGGGGTGTTTAGAGTAGAAGGTTTTCTGGTACTGGTACCTATCTGATTAAGATTCTGGTTATTACGATATCAAGCGAGCAACGGCTATAATTTTACGCCTCCTTGACTTGGAGTAGGAGAATTCTATCAGTGGTTTACGCATCCCTCACTCTCATGGTTACTGCGTTCCCCGCTCTCTCTTCTCAAGCCTTTTTCTCTCTCTCCACCACCTATCATTAAGAGTACGCATGCTGGCCTGAGACGGTTCCAGATCACCCGCTCCTTGGTCTGGACATAAGTTACGGACTGAGATTTCGGCTGCAGCATCATCCCTTCTCGTAACCCCTCTCCGTGGCCCCATGAAAGGACTACTAGTAGTTGACAGGCGGCAGAGTATTCAGCAAAACCGACATTAAAGATGCTGGTCGCGGCTGGTTAGGGCTGATTTTCAGGGTCTTACAATGGCAATTCGAGAACAAAGGACATAGAGCAAAATTAGAGGTCTATGTAGTAAGGTGGTAGAGCCGCCACGTTTGCCATGGGTTATTATAGCCATCAGTCCTGTAGGAGGAAGGAGACTCGACGTCTAGAGCCCATTTCGGGAAAGCTGTATTAGCGTCTACGGCTGCATTTTATGGTCGGGGGGGGGGGGCAACGGGCACGAGGAGAAGAGGGAATGCGTGGATGGTGAAGACGAAGTTCGGGAAGAGGAACGTAGGATGAGAAGAACGTCCTGGAACGGATGGTATACGAGTGCATGAGAATGAGGAATTGTTCACGCCTTAACACCAAGCATGGGCGGGTCCGTCCAAATGCACGTTCTATCAAATTACAACAGTGAGATACGTGATAGACTCCCTCAATAGCTCGGATGTCTCAATGCGAGCCCCCTCGTCCTCCTTCTTCTCCGGTCGTGACCAAATGCTCTGAAAATGTCTGCTGAATCCGTGGGGAGGTAGGGCTACAGATCCCGAAAAGGTAGCCGAGCCTTTCCTTCCCGTCCCAAGTATTTCCGACTGTCGGTCGTACTTCGATGTAATTTTATGCTGCTCGTCGCAAACCATCTTTGCACCAAGGGCTTGATGAAAACCTGTTTCTGTATCTGGTCCGCCACCGCATCGCTGAGTAGGCACACTGCTGCCACATCCCTCAAAAAACAACTTCGAGGGGCAAGTCTCTCGAACTTCGCCCAACCCGAATTTTGAATTCACCTTCTACCGGCATAACCCAATTCTGCTGAACAGTGGACCAGTAGCTTAGGTCCTTCCTTGTCAATCCCAGCTTGACAACTTGCGACCCGCCTCGCTTCAGCTCAACCTTCTTAAAATTCCTTAATACTTTCGGAGGGAAGTCGATAGGTTCACCGGTGCTTGGCTCTACCACATTATCTGGGAAGGAGAGATATAATTGTACCACTTCTTTCCCTGATCGTTTTCCCGTATTGTTGACGCGGACAGCTACTTCAATGACTGGTTCGAAAAGGTCAGGGTTACCCCCTTCGGCGCCCCCTGCAGGTGATGGTGTTTGAGGTTCATCATATCCTCTGGGGTATGGGTAGCGACCTTTCTTTACCAGCTTGGTGCTTTCAATCCATGGGTAGATGTACTTCTTCAACCTTCGAAAGCCTGCCGGAAGCACTGCCGTCGAAGGATCAGGCACATCTCCGCTTGAAGCAGTTGCCGGCACTTCATTCAATCGCGGCGCGGGTAAGGCAGATTTCGGCTTCAGTTTCTTGAGCACAAGATCAGAAAGCTCGAACGTGGTGTACGAGAGGCCAAACCCAAACTCATATCGAGGCTCGATCTCGTTCTTGTCAAAGTGACGGTAGTCGATGTAAAGACTCTCGTTGAAGTCTACCTGCGGTACCGCACCGTTTGGATAATACAGGATCTGTGCGCCTGGCCCATAATCACCTAGGCTCTTACCAAGAGTGTATGGAAGCCGTCCGCTGGCATCGACATTCCCGAACAGGACATCTGCAAGAGCATTTCCGCTTTCTTGGCCTGGAAGATTTGCAAGCAGGATCGCCTTAACGCCCGGTAGGTCTGCCCACTTTTCAACGATAACCGGTCCAACAGCGTGGATGACGACGATGGTCGGACCACCACAGCTTTCCGTAGTTGCTATGATCAAGTCATCCCCGCCTTTTTGAAGGTTTAGGTCATTTCTGTCGCCTCGAATGCCGTTCCAAGACCTGAAACCTTCGCCAGCGATAGCATTTGCAAAGACAATGCACAAGTCGTTCAATTTCAGCTTGGCTCGGATGTCTTGATCGAGATCATTCTGCAAGTAGGTGTTGACCTTGATGCTTGCATTCTTGACTGCGGCCTTGAAACCGGATGCCGGGTCCACCAGATAGGGGAATTCGCTCGCGCCAGATCCCCATCCAGAACCCAGAGTGCCTTGATTGCAAGCTCTGTCCTCGCAAACGTTGGGGCCCTCTCCAGGCCCTGCATCTTCCCCCACGATGGCAATAGTGGCACTGCGATTCCTGCTAAGCGGAAGCATTCCATCGTTTTTAACAAGGACTGTGCCCTCTGCCGCCACTTTCCGAGCCACGATCTTGTGCGGAGGATCCCCTGGGTTACCTCCTTGAACGTCCACAAACCGATTGACGACTCCTTTCTCATCGCTGTTGCTGGCAGGATGTAGTAGATCTATTTCCTTGGTTGAAAATGACGAAAAGTTGGGACCACCTTTACCTTCAGGCGCCGGCTTCTCCCACTTATCTTGACCCATCTGGTACCATGAAGCAACTATTCGAGTTGCCATATCGTCCAAACGCTCGATTGGGACGGATCGATTCAGCACTGCAAGGCTAAGCTGTTTCCCCCATAATGATTTACCGTCTGCCCACCCAAGTCCATCGCCCGGCATGCTCATGTCGAGACCTGCCAAAGCGCTGCCAACTCCACTTCTCTGGGCTAGCCAATCTGACTGCACAAAACCTTGAAACCCCAATTCGTCCTTCAAAATGCCATTCATGAGCTTGCTATTACCACAAGCGTAGGAGTTGTTCACCATCTGATAAGAGCACATCACTGAAGCCACGCCTGCTCGAACGCTCTCGGCAAAAGGCCAAGCATAGAGTTCATGAAGTGTTCGGTCGTCAATATTGGAAGACATGGCGTTTGGCAGACCCCACTCAAAAGACTGTCGGAAGTGCTCTTGTTCGTTGCCGACATAATGCTTAGCTGTCGCCATGACATTTTCGCTTTGAATGCCTTGAATAGTCTCGTAAGCACCAACGGCTTGTAGAACGGGATCCGACCCAAAACCTTCCCAGTTTCTGCCACCTGCTGGATTTCGACCGATTGGGCCCATGCAGGGTCCCAGCAGAACGTGGATACCCTTCAGCCTTGCTTCTCTTCCGTGAGCTACTCCGTGGGCGCGCATGAGCTCGTGGGACCAAGTCGCCCCAACTGTGACGCCAGCAGGAAAGGAGCTGGCATGATCGGTAAAGCGGATACCAAGTGGTCCATCTTGCAGACAGAGGCTGGGGAAGCCGACAGAATCCGCAGTGCCAGTGTTGCCGACACACATGTTCATTGACCATCTGCAGTTACGCGTAAGCCTAATTCCTACATCAACAAGAGCAATCGTACCCGGTACCAGTCGTGATGTTGACTTTCTCGACAAGACTCATCTTACCAACCATTTGACGCGCCAACTCATAGCTCCTCTTCCAGTTTTCGACAGTTCCTCCTACTGGTGTTGGATACCATGGTGGTGACAGGCCATCTTTAGGAGCGGATTTGTAGACCCACGCTCCACCACCAATTGCTGCGCCAATGACAGCCGCTAAGACAATGGTAATGAGTATACATACTCGCTTCGAAGGTATGAGGCAAGCGCAGAACCGCCGCCATGGTCGTCTCGCTTTGCTCACATCTATCGTCGTGTGTTCGCCTTTCCTTGGTGGCGACCTTCGAGGAGTGCCATCAAGTTGGGATTTGTGCAAGGCCTCTGTAGGTGACGCATCATCTTCATCCTCGCTACTGAATCCCCCGATAGGTTCGCGTAGATGTTTACTGTCCTCACTCTCATTTAGAAGATCTTGACCTTGTACAGCCTGATATTCTTGCCGTGCAGCAGACATCTTTAGACGTGGGGAGCAAGCCAATTTGGAAGATTGTTTATTCCTGCAAGGCTAACTGGAATTGTCTTTGGTGTGTTGTCCTCGGGGCGCGCTTTAGCCTTAGCTGAGGCAGGGGACAGTGTTAGTTTACAGCGTAGTACTGTAAGCATGGGTGGGGCTGCGAATTGGGGAAACATGGAGGGGCAGCGTTCTTTAAGTCCGAGGCACTGTTATGTACACCAGAATATTTGCACCAGTATGAAGCTTCTCCCTGTCCAGTAAAGAAATTTCTCCAGAGTCGACGTCTCGCCGGCTCCCACCAGTGTTTGTGCTCTTCTTTGTGTTTGAATGATGTGCTGAGCTGTAGCAGGCTCAACACCATGCTCTCCTCCAATCTCTTCTACAAAGCTATCCCACTCTGGCAATTCGCAGCCAAAAGTGCTACCAGTCTTCTGCCGCGAACTGCCACACTCTCATCCCGGACAAGTTTGCGACGTCAATTATTTGTCCCACGAAAGACGTCCGTCATGGCTACTCCGTTCTCAACCCAGATGCCTACCAAAAAGGACACTTTAGCAGCAAGGCCATCCCAAGAATTCGACTCTGAGATCAATGACATGGCTTCCTACATTCACAATTACAAGATAGACTCGGACCTTGCCCTGGACACGGCACGCTTCGTCTTCCTCGATACTCTTGGCTGTGGTCTCGAAGCCCTCCGTTTTAAAGCATGTACCAAGTTACTTGGTCCAATTGTTGAAGGAACAGTAGTGCCCAATGGCACCAGAGTACCGGGCACACCTTACCAACTCGACCCTGTCAACGGGGCTTTCAATATTGGAGCTATGATTCGATGGCTCGACTACAATGACTGCTGGCTAGCGGCAGAATGGGGTCACCCATCGGACAACCTCGGTGGCATCCTAGCAGTCGCAGATTGGATCAATCGAACTAACCGGGCAGGAGGAAACCTAGGCAATGGCAAAATCTTTACCGTCCACGACGTGCTGGAAGGCATGATCAAAGCCCACGAAATTCAAGGCTGCCTCGCCCTCGAAAACTCCTTCAACAAAGTTGGCCTTGACCACGTCGTCCTGGTCAAGGTGGCAACCGCAGCCGTCGTCTCCAAAATGCTAGGTCTAACCGAAGCACAGACTCGAGATTGCATTTCCCAAGCCTGGGTCGATGGGCAATCCCTCCGCACCTACCGCCATAGCCCCAACACCATGTCTCGAAAATCCTGGGCCGCCGGCGACGCCTGCCAACGAGCCGTCAACCTCGCCCTGAAAGTCTCTAAGGGAGAACCGGGTGTCCCGACCGTCCTATCCGCCCCGATTTGGGGCTTCTACGACGTGCTCTTCCAAGGTCGTAAATTCGAATTCCAACGGCGCTATTCTAGCTACGTGATGGAGAACGTTCTCTTCAAGGTGTCTTACCCGGCAGAGTTCCACTCTCAAACCGCCATTGAAGCTGCCCAGAAGATCTATGCGCAGCTAAAAGGCATCGGGAAGAGCGCAGAAGACATAAAGGAGATCACAATCCGCACGCACGAGGCGTGTATAAGGATCATCGACAAGCAATTCAAAGCCATGGACAACTTCGCTGATCGAGATCACTGCATCCAATATATGGTATCTGTCATGCTCGTCTTCAATCGACTCGAAGCGACGGATTACACTGATGGCAGTGAAGCCGCAGAATCAGCACTCATTGAATCCCTCCGAAAACGCATAAAATGCGTGGAAGACCCACAATTCACGCAGGACTACCACGACCCGAGTCTACGAACGATAGCCAATGCATTGACGGTGACGCTGAACGATGGGAGCTCGTTGCCAGAAGTTATAGTTGAGGCGCCACTTGGGCATAAGCTGCGAAGGGAGGAGGCCAAGCCGGAGATCCTTGCCAAGTATCAGAGGCATCTGAGGCCGCATTATTCAGAGGAGAAGGTTACGGAGTTGGTCAAATTGGGTTTAGATGCTAAGAGGTTGGAGGCGATGGAGATAGACCAGTATGTGGATTTGTATGTGAAAGATACGATGGACTGGCTGTAAGAGCCGTGTTACAAAAATAGGAGAAATAGACCGATCCACAGAGCATTTTAAATACTTAACAGCTGAGGAAGTTTGGATTGAAGATTCAGCAAGCCATGCTCGGCCAATAATGTGATGGGGCCAACCAGCTCTCACTACGTAGCTTAATAGCAGTGAGCCTGACGTCGTAAGGAGAGAAACTGCGCTGCCATGTGCTAAGTCTGTACTACTGTAAGCCCTAACTAGTTAAGACGGCACCCGTAACCGAGGTGCACCCAGAAGCGCAACGGGTCCGGGAAATACTACGGTAGGAGGCATAATGTTTGTCAATACAGTGCTAGTAGTGACTAGTTCTGATATAAGTCCACAGATAGTCGAAAAGCTTACAAGATCAAGCAGCCATACAAACAAGACCACCAGCTCTGATTAATCCATCTTTGGATTAGTGCTACTTAGCCTCGCTTGTTTGATAACTGTTTTGGTCCAAAGATACTAGTGCAGAGGTGACAAACGTTATGCCTCCTACTGTAGTAAGTTGCCTTCTATTATTCTGACTCTCAAACCTTACAAATCTATCCTATCACACACTGACCTTTCTAGTTAATTTGGAAAGAAGAATCGTCAAAATTAAATCAATATTCGATCTCGGTGCAGCTCATTCAATGTCTTCTACGCTTTTTGATTGGGTGTAGAGTGTTGCACTGGTACTGGGACACCTCTGTTTAATCTAATCTTCCAATCGAAGTAGCTTTGCAGCTACACTGATTCCTGCCACGACTGTAAGCCCCCAGCTGGTGTGCGAAACCCACCAGACCTCCAAGGCCTAGGACATGTTCAATGGGCACATGTAGACAATTGGGCCTCCCAAAATCTCCGGATCTCCATGGAGCAGCAACCTGATGGCTTGACGCCCTTCACCGTCTTCTCGATATTCACACAGTGTAAACCGCGTCCAAACCAGCCTCTCTCCTAGTACAATAATAATGGCGCATAACTACGCTCTCCCTGCGCGTCGCTGACCAAAGCGACATGCCCCTGCATCATCTCCATGCTACTAATATCTTTCCGCCGTTTCCCACTCTTCCGCTAACCTCTACTCCCCGCCGCAAGAGAGCCCAGACAACGCTCACGACACCATCTATTTCTGGGGCCGGCGCGTGAGCCTCGCCGATCTGGGATCCATCCCCCGCGGGCGTGCTGGCGGAAGTGGATGTGGGTGACGGATGATGGAGTCGGGAGCGAAAGCGGGGAGGAGACCGTCTCAGCGAGGGTGGACGCAGGGTCGTGGGCGATGCTGGAGTGAATCAAAAGTTAGGATGGGGCTGGAGCAGGTGAGCAGGTCAACCGGGCGGATAGTATTGAGATTTGCAATTTGGAGATGGAATGGCGGGAACGGGTTAAGGGAGCAGGATGCATCACGGTTCATGCTTCTTGAGAAAAATAAGCATCAAAAGTCTTCCGAGCACAATGGCGCCATCTTCTAGCAAGGGTAAAGGGGTGTCAATGACGGATGCAAAGGCATCTTTGACATTTTGCATCCGGAGGTCCATCCGTTCAACCAGTGTTTACTTCACTACAATATCCCATCCAATCAAGACAGAAGATTGAATAATTCACATTGATTTGGTCGATTGAGCCGCAAGGGGCAGAAACGAACCTTCAATCTCTGGTCACGAAGGCAGAACGGGTCTTCCAGCTGCGCAGGCGAGTTCATCTGGTTGGTAGTTGTAGGAGAGGTCTTGGAGGGAGCGCAACAGTGAAAGTGCCACCGATGGCGGCTGGAGAGTAGGCCGTAAGACACGCACGCGAAATCAAGCCACGAGAACGAGAAGCGATGTTGATTTCTGGCCCGGATCCAGATGGACAGGCGATTCGTAGCATGATAGGTGGTGGATATGGAATGTCTGGTCGAGAGTAGAAGGGTAGAAATGATGGGCTGAAGGGAGGTCCATCAATTTAATCACTTGCTTCAATGCTCGGATTGTTTTTGTGGCTAACATGTAGTGCTCACTTTCCTCCGTCTATTGCCTGTCACACTGGCTACTACATGCTTAAACCATTGTGGAGCGAGGCCGGAAACGTTCTCAGCGTACGTAATGAGCGAGCCGTCTTCAGATCGCCAAGGTGGCTCGCTGCTCCTATCTCTTTCGTCTGCTGATATACAGCGACGTACATCTTTCTCCACCAGCTCGCTGGTAGTAAACCTTTCGTACGCACTTTTCTAACCAATGGGAAACTCGCATTCAACCGTGTGAGCTAGTCCCGTCATGAGATTTCTTTCATCACCTCATGGTCTCTGTCAACGCTACTAATTTAGTACAGTCTATGCTTCCCCATCTTTCGATTCCGTCATGTCGTCGAAGGCGAAGTCGAGGTCCCAATCGTCAAGTTTTCTAGATGGCCAGATCGGCGTGAGACGAAGCGGCCAGTCCTTTGATGCGAATGAAGCACTCTTGTTCGAACCTTCAATGCTTTCGGGGAGATACGGCTGCAGTCGCTTGGACAGGGACTCCCAACCCCCAGCTTTCAACGGACAGGCTCTTGCTTTGAACCAGCATAGTGTGGGCTGATGGGCAATGAGGAAATCTGCGAGCTCGTTTTCGAGGAGCACGATGTGAACTAAAGTTAATGACTGTAGGTGTTCCCATGGAAGAGATAGTCCTATCACGGCCACGGACAACCCTAACAGTTCCTCGGATTCAAGGCGGAGGTGCCGCAGTTGCTGACACTGGGCCATGAGACGTTGTAACGAGTCTGTGTGAAGGTTGCACAGTTTGCCCAATACTGATGGTGCCAAATTGAGCTTGAGCGAAAGCAGAGAACGAAGATCGATTGCACCTCTAGAGCAGCAAAGATGTGCATACTGAAAAAATAATCTGGTATGTAATCGAACCAAGCATGCTTAAGCTTGACCCTGGCCTTTGCCACAGCGGCAAGAACGGACCAAATGTCAGTCATACGGTAGCCGAAAGTTGGAGTTCTTGGGCCGAGCAATGTCCTCTGCATGGCCTTTTGCACCAAAGAGGTGTGTAGAACGAAGTTATCGTTAGCGTCCATAAAATGTACAGAGGATGGAATGACGATTGAGTCCAACTTTGGAAGCTTCACAAATACTCGCGACAGGAAGGTACAAAGTTCTGTGCCCTCGACAAGTGATGACTGGCTGTCACAGAAGTATGTATAGTCTCTGTAGGAAGTCGACCATTCTTCGTCCGTTTTTACGGTACTCGCCCCGTGGAGATCCCATGCATCCATTTCAAAACTGTCAATGCAATCATTCTTAAACCTTTCAATCGACTTGTACTCAATGAACCGTTGCGGAATGAAGTAAACTGTGCGTACAGTGGTTGAAAATCTTGCATGGTTGGAAATGGCTCTCAAGCGGTCGAAACTATCCGGGAGTAGATCAAGGTAGACAGTTTTATGCAAGAATTCTGAAGCGAAGGATTCCGTCTTTTTGCATGAGAGCCTTAATGACTTCAGCTCTGCCACAAGGCAGAGTGAGACAATTGCGTGAAGAAGTTCCGCTGGTAGAGAAAGAAGGGGGAAATGCTTTGTGCACATGGCAAGATCCGAAATAAGCTGAGGCAAACGGAGCATGTCTTTGCGAGAAAGCTCTGCTGGCACATGAAGAAAAGGCAGCTGCACAGTTTGAGAGGCAGGGTTGAAAGTATAGCGACAGCGTGAATGATTGGTTGGTGAAGGACAGGCCATACGTGTGCGAGATGAGGTCAAGCTGCTCAAGGCGAAAGTTTGCTTTAGGATATATATTGACAAAGCGCTGCAAATTGTTGCAGTCAATCACTAGGAATAATCAAAGTGCTTTGCGGCTTGCTTGCATGAGTAAATTGATCTTGTAGGTACTCCAACAAGCAGCTGGCGTGTTTCTGAGTGAAAAGTAGACGCGAACACAATTGTTGACTCTCCTGTTCGTGGAGCTCAGCTCACTCTGGGGCTGAGCTTGCTGCACTGTCCATCAGGTGGCTCAAAATGTGCTTTGAGCCAATCGACTGGCAGCATTCCTTGCATCAACTCTGTCCTCGTCATCATCCTTCAATGCTCCTATGCTAGCACTACCAGTGCCGCTGCGTGGCCGCGCCTTTGAACGCTCCGTAAAATCACCATCTACGCTGCCCTCGTCTTCATCCTCATCTTCCGGTATGGAGGCAGCTCCTGCGAAGCTTCCGCTAATACTTCTGCTGAGCGAATCGCGTGTTCTTGGTACACCACTCCAAGCGTCACCTTTCGCCCCTTGGCTGCTGGCCAAACTCGCTCTTCTGGCAGCAGGGTTGTGCTCTCGCCCTAGGCGGCTGAGTCCACCAGAAGCATCAATTGCTCGAATGTCTGGCCTTACACTTTCTAGGGTGCTGAGCATTCTCCTTTCTGCCTCAATCTCACGAAGTACGAATTCGCGGATAGACAAATTGAGATCTTTGGCTGTCCGTTCAAACCATCTTCGTTTCTCCAGCAAAAGATTTGCCGTCACACGTTGAGTTTTCCCCTTAAGATAATTCTCCTGACTTACAGCTTCGTCCAAGCTATTGATTGCCTCATCGACCTTATCTCGTCGAACGCTTGTACTGCTTTTTAGCCGGGTTACAGCGCTTTCTTTACTTTTCCGTACGCCCTCCGCTTGTAGTAATTCTCTCAACAAAATATGACGATTTGTAAGCGTTTCCTTGACAACAAATGCGTCCTGAGAGTGGTAGCTCAGAGGATCACCAAATGTGGTAGCCTCCGCTGTCCCTTGTGCAGCATGAAAATCGCCGCAAGTTTGAATTACACGACCCAGTTTTCGGTATGCTGTGGATAGACCTGGATGGGTTTCCTGGACATGCATCTGCGTAAGCCGTTCACCCAATGATGATTCGGCAAGACCCAGACCTGTCATCCGCAGGTTAGCAACACCATATCATATGAAGGAGAGCTCCACTCACCTCTTCGAGCTTTGACCATCTTCTCCAACTTCTGATGCGCGTCCAGTGTGCCCAGATAGAATAATTTCACCACCGGTCTTGCTTCATGCAGTTCGGGAGTATCATCTGGCGGTGGCGCGAATTGCTTGAGAACTTTCCTTCTGACACCGGTAGCTGGCTGCTTCATGTTTACTACCGGTGAATAACCAAAATCTGATTCGACAAAGAACACCATCTCCTCATCGCGCATGAGGACATCATTGCTACAGACGTAATTAAGCCATCGTTGCAGCGAGGCTTTGACTCTGGCTTCATCTTCATCGGTCCCCGCACCAGCAGAAGTCACGCTCGGAGGCACAGCAGGAACAAAGGCTTCCGGGTTAGAAGAGATGAGGTGGTGGGCGAGTTTCACAAATTCCGAATGAGTACGCCGGACGTCGCGGAATTGTGTTGTACGAAACTTGGGAAGATTTGTCTGCAGTTGGTCAATACCAAGGTTCTGCATGAGCAATGGAACACCATCCTACGTGAACATCAAACCTCAAAACCGGATCCTTCCTCCCCGTCCGCTCAAGAGCTGTGATCTTTGCGTGCAACTTGTATGCAGGTATCGGCCTTTGCTGTCTAGGACCAGATTGATACCGAGAGGTACCATGGCGCTGTGGCTGAGCAGCATAACGTTGCGACTGTTGTACGCGCTGCTGCTGCTGGTAGAGATTGGGTTCGTGATCACCAATGTAGTCGGGGTCTCCCAATTGTGCGCTCTGCAGCTGTTCGGACAGGTCAGGCGATTCCGTATCATCGTCAGCCGAGGTAAGACCCGCTGATGTAGTCGGTACATTGGTAGAGACATGAGGGAATCTGCTAGCAACAGGAGAGCCGTTGCCTTGAGGGTTGGGCGATTGCTGTTGGCCAGGTAGAGGAGAGGATGAAATGTCGCTGGTAGGTTGAGAGAAGGCTGAACGATCCACTCTCGGCGAGGTCGAGGCCCATGGTGATGAGCCTCCAGGTTGCTCTAAATCACTTGACACAGTGGAGTAATCCATCTTTACATCAATGTGGGTTCAATCTGGCGGTACTGCACTCTGATGTCCACTAGTATGCTCGCAGGCTCGGCGAGATGTTCTGTCTCGATAAAGGTTGTCAATTATGGGTCAATCGTTAATCGAGAACGCACGACAGACATTTGTGCAATCCTCAGCGGTGGTACATACGTACTGCAATCCTGCTCCATAGCCAATAATAAATAGCACAAAATCAAAACCCAGAAATGCCAAGCCACCAACGCCCTTCTTTTCAATGGCTGCCAGTCCAATGAGAAAGGACACTTCATTAATACAAGAAATGTATTGTTACGTGCTTCTTGTATGTAGAATGCTTGCCTTGAGGGATGCCCTTGCCGTTCTTTGTCTTTCCAGGTGATGCTTTTGCTCATGATAATTTGCAGACTTGTCCAGCTCACTATCGTTTAATGTTTTAGAGGGTGATGACCCTAAAACCTCATATTGTGCTTCTACCTTTTCAGAAAAAGTCTTCAGGGGTGCCTATATCGCGGATAAAATGGCATTCTCTTCTTTCTCGCACCTATGTCACACATGTACCACCGTCCAATGCACCACAAGTTGCACGGACAAGAAACATCGGCATCATTGCTCATATCGATGCTGGCAAAACAACGACCACAGAACGCATGCTCTATTATAGTGGCTATACGCGCAGAATCGGTGACGTTGATGATGGATCTACGGTAACAGACTTCCTTCCAGCGGAACGAGCCAGAGGAATTACCATCCAATCAGCTGCCATCACATTTGAATGGCCCCAGAAACCATCAGAACCCGAATCTGCCGATCTAGTGGAAAGCGTTGAGAGCGGGACTGAACCGAAGTCAGCACTCAGCCACCATATCAATCTCATCGATACGCCTGGTCACGCAGATTTCACATTCGAAGTGCGGAGGTCTCTTCGCATCCTTGACGGAGCAGTGTGCATTCTGGATGGCGTCGCCGGTGTTGAGGCACAGACCGAGCAAGTGTGGAAGCAGGCCGGTGAGTGGAGCATACCTCGCATTGTTTATGTCAATAAGCTCGACCGCGATGGAGCAGCCTTCGGAAGGACCGTCAAGGAAGTGGCTTCCAGACTGGCAGGCTGGCCCGCAGTCTGTCAAATTCCATGGTGGGAAGGTGGAGAGGGACGTTTCACCGGTGTGGCTGACGTCGTAAATCTGCGAGGTCTTCTCTATCCTAAGGGTGGGGACGGGAAGGTCATCAGGGTTTTTACATTGCAAGACTTGGAAAAGGCGAATCCCAAGCTTGCCTCAGAATTGAAGCGTGCTCGTATTGCTCTTGTCGAACTTTTGAGTGAGCACGATGATACGATGGTCGATACATTCCTGGAGAGCAACGAAGATCATCTTGCAGTTCCTGCCATGGCCATCCTGTCTAGCCTTCGCAGGTGTCTTCTTGCTGAGAACAACCGAGTTATCCCGCTGTTTGCAGGGGCCAGCTTTCGCAATATTGGAGTTCAACCATTGCTTGATGCGACAGTGAATTTGTTGCCAGAACCAAGAGAACGCCCGGATTCTGAGATTAGTATCGGGGCTACCAAAATTGGCCTACAAGATCTTTTAATAGGTAAGCTCGTGTTGCCCAATGCAGACTCTCAAGCTTCGAAGAGAGGCAGGAAGCATTCTGCTACACCGTCGGTTCCGCCTGCACATGCGCTTGAAGGTTGCGCTCTAGCATTTAAGGTCGTTAACGACGTTCGCAAGGGTGTTCTTGTCTACATCAGAATCTATTCTGGTTCCATCCATCGTGGTGCACTGCTCTACAACACAAATCTCAACGTCTCGGAAAAGGCAACGACTCTGCTCAGAATGTATGCATCTGATTCACTGCCTGTCCAATCTATCGAGGCAGGCCAAATTGGTGTCATTGCTGGTCTGAAGCATGCGCGAACGGGTGATACGCTGATAGCCTGTTATGGAAGCAAGGTGGTCCCACCAGAGCCGCTGGACCGTCTTCAGCTTCGCCCTATCGAAGTTCCACCGCCGGTTTTCTTTGCCAGCATCGAACCAAATAGCTTACGTGAAGAGAAGGATATGCAAGAGAAATTAGCTCTCCTGCTGCGGGAAGACCCAAGTTTGCATGTCACACAAGACGAGGACACAGGGCAGATTTTGCTGAGTGGCATGGGAGAACTCCATCTCGAGATTGCACGAGATAGGCTGGTCAACGACCTGAAAGCGAAAGCCACCATGGGACAAATTGAAATCGGCTATCGAGAGACTATCTTGCATCCTTCAGAAGCCATGACGAAGATTTATGATAGAGAGACGGCAGGGCAAAAGGGCAAAGCTGGGTGCACTGCAACTATGGAGCCATACAACACAACAGAGTCGCAATCAATCGAGCCTCCTCCCTCTCCTCAGGATCTTGAAGCCTGGTCCCATGAGCGAGATGGCAATCTAGTAACAGTACTAACACCAAAGATCCACCAAGATAACACCTCCCACTCCTCCAAAGATGCTCTACTCAGCCCGAACCTCACCCTCCCCGACCTGCGAACCGCCTACCTAAACGGAGCCCTCGCCGCCTTAAGCCGAGGCCCCGGGAAATCTTACCAAGTGCGCAGCGTACACGTCACGCTGACCCTGCACCCACCCACCCACCTCTTCGGCACCGAAAGCACCATTTCCGCCCTCGCCCACTTCGCCACCATCGCCGCCCTCAAAGACTCCGCCTCCAAAGGCGGCACTCCCCTCATGGAACCCGTTATGGACGTGACCATCAGCGTCGACGAAGCGAGCTTGGGACCTGTCGTCCACGACATCTCCTCCAGTCGCGGCGGGCACGCCATAAGGACCGCCAGGAGACGAGGAGACCAAACCAGCCATTGATCTGCGGAAAGTATATGCGCCACCTGACCCCTTTGGACCGAGCGGCGTGGAGATTCAAGATGAAACGTTTGCGCAGAAGATGAATCAGCCGCGGACGATCAAGGCGAAGGTGCCGCTCAAGGAGATGGTGGGGTATCTGAAGCATCTTAGGAGTATTACCGGGGGGAGGGGTACTTTCGTGATGAGTGTGGATCGGTTCGAGAGGATGAGTGGGCAGAGGGAGAAGGCTTTGTTGGCGAGGCTGGGTGGGAGATGATGTTCCACATTGTATACCCTGGATATACACATATCATAGACAACACATTCCACTTCGAATATTCCTTTTCAAGATGGTCATTTGTATGTATGGAGATCTCCTAACTTGCGACGTGCCCAGATCTGGCGAGGCTATGATAGGTTTGGAGGTCATTCAGGAGGCATGTACTTGACGGATCTCAGGAGCGTAGAATGCAAGGGAAAATACAACAGGATCGTGATCGAGAGCAAACTGTGAACGCCGAAATCTCCCTGTATTTCCATAAGACTTTTGCTAGCATGTAATGCCAGCATGCCAGAATGTTTTCAAAGTTGTTTGCAAATGAGCGCTCGAGTCAATCATCCATGCTCGCAATCATTCACAATAATTTGCTGGAAAGCTGCCACGCACTCCTTTGAGTTCACCCTGCCACCAATCATCTGTACTCTGCGTTTTCTTGATAACCTTGATGCGATCACCCTCTCTAAAAACCAGATCACCCTCGCCTTGTCCACCAAAGTCGTACAGAGCAGTGACAAATAATGCCTGGCTGCTCGGTATCCGAGGCGGAGGAGGCGGAGGTTTTTTCTTCCCGGCGATGGTAGCTGATAGATTCGTCATTGACGAAGTGGCAGAAGTGTGTGAGGACTGCCGGTCGCGAGAAAAATAGTCGGCTCGAGGAGCAGCAGGAGAAAACGGAAGAGGTGTATGGTAATCTGATGGTGTGGGAGAGCTCACTGCTGTGTCTGGCGGGGCAGAGAGCATAAGTGATGTGCCAGGTGATGGAAGTGCTCCGATCTTAGGCTTTGCGTCAATCGTCGGGCTTGGTGCAGGAAGGGCTCTTGCCGGGCTCGTTGAAGGCACACGGCTTAGGTTTGATTGTCCACTAGGTCTTCGGTTATAGCCATTGGGTACACCGTTCGAGTCCTCTATCTTCATTGGCATCCGTACCGCTTTGCCGTTTGCGAGTATTGCAATTGACTCCGCTTCTCTCTGAATCATTTTGAAGCCGTCGTCCCACGTTCTGATGACCTCGTCCATTGGTGGTGCTGGATTGGGAAAGTTCTCATCGCTACAGTAATTATGCAACATCGTATAATAGTGTGCAAGAAGGGTGTTCTGGATCTGGATCTGACTGGCCAACACATGTGGTAGAAGAGAAAAGGTAGCTGTAATAAGTCGTGGTAGACAATGGCGGAGATTATCGTCCGCAGCATTGTATTCGTCTGTGGCTCGGTTGAGATCCAGCTCAGCTTTTGACAATGCAGCATTTTCCCGATCAGATCGTTTTGTTTTCTTTCGTCCTGCCTCGACTCGACCTTGGTACCGCTCAAAGTCAAGCTATAAGCACTATTAGCTTCCGTGATCAATTAGTGAACTGGGGAAGCTGTACCTTTCGGTCTTCCCGTTTTTTGATAGTCTTCTTCATTAAAGAGAGAGAATCTCTGGCATCCATGGCCGGTTTGATCATCTTCTCATCCACCAGATTGACCTCTTCCATGAGGTCCTTCTTCAATTCCTCGTACTCTTCCCGTAGCCTAACAGTCCTGGTCATAGTATTTTCTGATGTATCGACAGGTTGATGACCGTGGTATGAGTCAGCGGCACCAACAATGGGCGCATACATGCCCTCGAACTCGTTGACCAGTCTATGTTGGTAACTGAGAATTGAGGACCATGAATCACGCCATGCTTTCGAGGCGTCTATAATCTGTGAAAGCCAAGTTAGTTCGGGCAAAACATGGCGAACGGAGGTCGGATTGAAACAGTTGCCCACCTTTGCCAACAGTAGATCCGCATCTTCAAAGTCTTTTAGTAGCACGGAGACCTGACTCTCATCCGCGCTCCTTTTCATGTACTTCCCGAAGTGCCTTTGCACGCTTTGCATCTTGTCGAGAAGCTTTCAGGAAGCAGTCCAAACGAGCGTGTTGCGACCACTGGGGCAGAAGATTGACATTGGTATAAGGAGGTCAAGCAAACATCGAGCTCGAGATTAGCCGTCGATGTAACGTGTAGAAGACGTTTTGAACCAGGATCTCAGCCACGATTTTGACTCGTGGCCTGGTTTAATCGGAAATGTTTCAGCTTTTCAGGGCCGACCACAGTTCTCAGTGGTGTTACCGCATAGATTAGCGTCAATGGTGTAAATGTAAGAGAGTCCCAAATGCTGTATTCGCAAGCAAGGTCTTGGCTGCAGTACATCATGCGTCAAAGAAAGCTTCAATCTCATCAATTGGGTGGTCTGTGGGGGGAAAGTGTTGGGTGAATTTTAGTGGGGAGCTGCACATGATTGCGCGGTTTGAAGGTGACCACAGACGCGCTATGTACTGTACGGTACACGGTACGCGTCCAGATTCTACTGTATGTCTCTATGTATCCCCGCAAAGCTTCCCCACTCCGGCAGCAGGAAAGTCATTCATCAGGATCGCGAAGGCCGTGAATGATTGAGACTCCATCCAGGCTTTGAAAGTGACCGAATATGGCCAATGGGGCCTGCAGGATATTCTACCATCATGTCAACGATGACAACCACCGTTCGAGGCACTCCAAGCCTCACTGTCGCGCCAACACAGAACACTGCTCCCGTTTTCGAGTTTCGATGCTTGTTTACACATGATCTACGGAAAAAGAAGAAGATCTGGCATGATGGCTCGCTGCGCTTCCATACCTTTAATCGCCGTGTCATGGTTTATGATGACTTAAAAAACTACATTGGAGACGCGCACTGGAGAGAAACGGGGGAGTTCCTCGAGGGAGAGGAGCTCAGGCTGGACAAGGGTGTTATGGTCCAAGTTGGAGAGCAAATCGGCCATACAGAGACAGATCTAGCTCCAGTCATCCTGGATAAGCGACGACTCGAAATCACCTCCTCCCCTCCTCGTGTGCCTCTTCCCTCAAATCCCATGACATCCGTGCCACGACTAGTGGGCACCGGACCTCAAGCCCGTCCCAAATCGCTAGCCGCAGTCCTGGGAGCATCACAGGGGCGTATTGGGCGAGCTCGGCTACCTGGCCGATCTTCATTCGAGCAGAGACAAGACAATGTTCAGCGGCTGCCGGAGACATACGAAGATCGGGCTACAAAGAGGCCTAGGATAGCTGCAAATAGGGCAGACAAGGAGAACAGGATTCAAATTCCTGCTCCCGCCAGGCCGATACAATCTCCGACAGCAGATGCCACTGGGAAAGTCCATGATACCAGAATCAACCTTCCCTCTCAAAAGAAAACGTTCCTGAGTTCTAATAGAAACTTGGAAGCCTCTGCCGGTTCGTTCGTTCCACCACTCTCAGCCTTATCCCACCACGGTGGCGAATGGAAAGCCAGGGAGCAGCCCACACCGATCCCAGAAGCGGAAATCAGGCGAAACCCATGTTCATCTCGTTCAACGACGACATCAGGAAGTGTGCAGAAGAAAGCTGGAGAATCCTTTCTTTCTGCTCTAAATTCGGACCAGACATCCAAGCAGAACACTGCTGCACATTCTCCCACTGTGCCAACTAGAAACTCGAATCACACAAAGGTTCCTGCTGATGATGCTACTGGGAGCACCCGCCAATTTGGAGGCCCGGTGATGACCAAACTTTGCTTCAAAAATGAGAAGCCAAGGAAAAAGCTCATATACAAAGATTTACTGCTCCGTCCTGGGCAGGAGAAAAGACCAAGGCCAGCAGATGACAACAGATATGCACAGAAGGAGAGAAACAATCGGCGAGCTGTAGGGGATTTACAGCATTCGAGACAAAACATGCCACCGGACACGCTTGTTATCGATCTGCTCAATGAAGATGAAGATGACGTGCCAACAACTGGCAAAACACACGTTTCAGCACATATTGAGACTGCCCTTGAAGGGACTCCCAGCCCAGTTCCAAGTCCTCTGTCATCGTCAAGTCCATTATTCGTGAATGAGTTGTCGTACTCAACTGATTTCGAACCATCTCAATTGTCAGTTTGCGAGGATTTTAAACCTCCTCAATGCCCAGAATTTCCAAGTCAGAAAAGCTTTGACAAACCACTGGCAGAAGGGCTGCATAGATCAGAAATTTCTTCACGAAGAGCTACTGGCAACCTTGAACATACTCATGCCATCGGCGACGAAGCTACAGAAGTAGATCCGCTACCTCGAATGTCTTCAAATCTTACGCTGCTAGATCAGCGACTTCGGCATACATCAGCTGTAGCAGAAATTCATTCTAAGGGAGCTTGTATCCAATCGCCACTGAAGCAGAGACAGTTTCGCCGGATCCTCTCCGAAAGTGATTCCTACACCCATTGTCGGCCGGAAGTGAGTCCTGTAGAGTTCCCTTGTGAACCAGCATGCACGACTACTGCCTCTGTCCTGCACAGCGCCAACCCAGGTCAAAAAGCCTCCAGGAGCCCTACAAGGGTACAACGGTCTATATCAGATGTGACCCACCTTGCGCAAAGAACGGAAGTGCCTCAAAGAACCGCAGCTATAACGCCTGCTGTGGAGGCATGCTTCGAACCCTGGAGTGAGCCAGAAGCATATTTACTATTCGATTGGTGGCCTTCAGGCAGAGAAAAACCTTCCTTTGTAATGGACGAATCATAGCAGAGCATATTAAGCAGAGATGTAGCTCGTGGACGAGTGAATGAACTGGCTTCCAACGATCATTGATATCTACTTGAAAAAATGGTTCTTAGCTCGAACATAAGCTGACCCGTCAACTATAGTGTAAGGGGCCAGCATCTAATGATGCTTAAATTATTTACTAGGTAGTCTTTATCTTTATAGGTGGTTAAAATGCTTCGTATAAGGTGTAATCTTATGTTATGGGCCTTACTCCCTTTAATCTCAATTGCCTAAGTGTTAGATGATCTAAGACACTAACTGCTAAAGCTAAGACGAAGATAGCTAGCTGCCCAGCCATACTACTACTCTAAGCGGCAGTCAACTGCTTTTGAAGCACGACTCCGTAGCCATTCAGCGTTTCTCGATTTCCGGGGTGCACCACCAACGCCACTTATGTACTCAATGACCCTTGCACATCGTTCAATTGATCTCACCACATAAATTTTGAACGGGCCGAACGTTCCCCCGACTGATATGTGACGATGACTTATGCGATCTGCTTTGCAATGCCCTGAGTCCACGTTTAGATTCATCCAATAATGCCACTCATCCTCGACAGTCCCTCTGAATCGTCATTCGAAACCCCTCCTGACCCTCTGGAAGAGCGTCGTCGGCTTCACCATGATGCTGATGTTGTTATCGTTGGTGCCGGCATTTTGGGATCTGCGTTAGCAGTTGCACTTGCTGATCAGGGTCGAAGTGTGATATTGCTTGAAAGATCTCTCAAAGAACCCGATAGAATTGTTGGAGAATTACTACAACCAGGGGGGGTCGAAGCATTGGAGAAGCTTGGACTCAGGCACTGTCTGGAAGAGATCGATGCGATTCCGGTCAAGGGATACGAGGTGATATACTATGGAGAAGAGGTGGCAATACCCTACCCTGGCAACGCACACGGGAGTAAAGCGTCTCCAGAAAAGACTTCAAAACCCGAGGGTCGGTCCTTCCATCACGGACGATTTGTATCCCGTTTACGCTCCGCAGCCCTGATCCATCCCAACATCACCACATTCGAGACGGAAGTAACCTCGATCATTAAGTCGACCCATACATCTGAGGTACTTGGTGTCGAAAGTCTCACCAATAAAACGAAGCCTGAATTTTTTTTTGGGTCCCTGACTGTCATTGCTGATGGCTACGCTTCCAAATTCCGCAAATCCTACCTACCGCATACTCCCAAGACGAGATCGAAATTTTGGGGCCTAGAGCTGATCGACGCGGATCTGCCTCTGCCGGAACACGGCCACGTGATTTTGGGTGACGGCGCACCCGTACTACTCTATCAGATTGGCACACATGAAACAAGAGCGCTCGTGGATATACCCGACAACACGCCGACCGCATCCGTGAAGGTTGGTGGAGTCAAGGCTCATTTACGTAACGTTGTTTTGCCGTCATTGCCTCAGCAAGTCCAGCCTTCCTTTGCTGCTGCTCTCGACAAGGGTGCTCTACGATCAATGCCAAATTCATTTCTCCCATCCGCCACCAACAAGACCCCGGGTCTGATCCTGCTAGGAGACGCAATGAACATGAGACATGCTTTGACTGGGGGTGGCATGACAGTGGCCCTCAACGATGTCGTTCTGCTGCGTAGCCTACTATCGCCTCATCATGTACCAGATCTGGCAGATTCCAAGGCCGTCTTGCATCAGATGCGATCCTTCCATTGGCAGCGAAAGAACCTCACGGCCGTGATCAACATACTTGCCCAGGCACTGTACTCGCTTTTTGCAGCTAACGATCCGTACCTCAAATACCTCCAGATGGGCTGCTTTCGATACTTTCAACTTGGGGGCCAATGCATCGACGGCCCAGTCGGTCTCTTAGCAGGCATAATCCGACAACCGTTCGTGCTATTTTACCATTTTTTTTCTGTGGCACTTCTGTCCATATGGATAGTGCTAAAAGATGCGGGATTATTGAAGTTGCCAATGACAGTGTTCACCGGGTGGGCCGTCTTCTACAAAGCTTGCGTTGTAATATTTCCTTATATTTTCGCTGAGCTGAGGAGTTGATAATCATGCACTTTAGACTCGTGGTAGATCACGATCCGGGACCGAACGCATGTACATATAAGGAGGGTGGTCGCTACCGTTACAGTATTGCAATCAAGCATTCACTCCAATGCTTACCTCATTCTGATTTCTCTATAGGTTTACATAGAAACACATAACATACAACAAGCATACATCATTACAGTTTATGGGCTATCAGACCTCAAGTTTTGGTTGTCTAGGAATTGTTCCCGGTTGCTGGTTGGACAAATTTAGATTTCGGTGGCTGCGTCAGCTGAGCTTGGCAGGCAGTTTCACTCATTGCGCTGCGTTAGCACCTGTGTTCCCCTTCAGCCCTCGTCACTTTCCATTTATACTGATTGTATTGTTATATTAATACTTTTGCATCTTGTACAGTCGACCTATCTTCCATACTCGCTACTCTCTCTAACCACTGACGTGGACTCAACTTCAATTTACTGGGAAGTGCCCCCCTGGAGAGGCCTCCAGTTCCCCGACCATACCTGCCAGAGACCAAGACAAACACATACACTAAAGCTCACCTGACGCCCGTGGTCTAGAGGTAGACCAGGCGGCACCTGGTTCTCCCAAAATGCGGCTGCCGCAAGATAAACTTGCAGTCATCAAAAGATATATACACGCTGCGCAAGGTGCCATCGTCGCAATTGCATGGCTCCTGTGTATCATCATATTTACCCGCCAAGGTCATTCAGATGGCAGAGTCGGCTGGTACTTTGGCCTTGTAAGAGATCATTCGAGCTGTATAGACAATGCATGCCATTAATACTCATTCTTCTCTTAGTGCTGGCTGTCGATACCCATCCTAGTGTATCTGGTCATGGTGCCAATGTGGCCTCGAGCGCGGCGCTTTTCGAATGTTTATGCCTTTGCTACCTTGGACGCTTTATCCGTCGTCTTTTGGCTGAGTGCATGGGCAGCAATGGCCTCGTACGTCTCCCAGGGTATTGGCAAAGGGGACAACGAGGAGGCGACTGGGTGTGACAACTTCAAGTTCGGCAGCCCAGGACGTTGCAAGATCAGCCAAGGCGTTATCGTACTGGGCGTCGTTCTGATGCTGTGCTTTGCCGCCACAGCATTTATATCCTTCAAAGCTGTCATGCACTACAAACGGACGGGTGAAATGCCAAATCCAACTATGGGCAACGAGAACTTTGCCAAACAAACACAGGATGCCTTCTCCAGCAACATCCGGAATGACGACCCTTTCGATGACAATCATGCAGATCTTGATGCGAGACAGGGTGGTACATCAGGATACGGTCCAGCAAGACGTTCGGAGGACGATGAATATACCTTGTTGCAGAATGATCACGATGAAATCAACCAGGCACAACCTACTCAACCAGCTGGGCCGTTGGGATATGGTCCCAACTCGGGAGCAATCATGCATGATTATGATACAAGCTACGCGGGCTCTTACGGGCAAAATATACCGGATGGCGGATATGGAAATGCCCCGTATAGTAGATGAAGCAGCCTGTTTTGGTGTTTGGGTTGGCGTTTTGAAATGCGTTGGAGCGTTCTTGTTTGTTCTTCTTGGACATGTTGTAAGCAAAAGCTATTGGCACCTCATATGATTTCAGCTTCGCTCAGCTTCTGCCGTATCTGGTGGCACTATTGACTATTGCTCACGGGTCAGGTAGAAAGAACTCACAACATACCATTCCACATATCAACCAGATCACCCAGATCATCTGCGCTGTCCTCTGCCAAGATGGGTCTTAAATCACGGAACTGTGTTACCAGTTGTAAACTTGAACATAGCTATTGTTTCACCGGTGGCTACTGTGATCCTCAATAGTGTCACGGTCTACTCTGTCCGCTTGAGTGAATTTGTCCCCCAGGCAAACAGAAGTGAAGATGCACAATCTCTCCGCGGGCACTAAAGACATGAGCACCTTCCCCATCCAAGACTAGCGCCTCCCTCAGGTGCCAAAAATTAAATTTATTTTGGCCCATCCACGCGCCCCTTCTGTTTCTGCGTCTTCATCACCATCAACTACTTCTGAAAACAATTCCAACTTCTTTCTCAATCTCAAACAGTATCTAGGGCACCTAGCTACCCTTGTATTCCCCCTCTTCAATTTTCCCAAGGCAGCCTTCCGCTACCTGAGTCTCTCTTCTTCACAAGTAGACCCTTACTTGTCCTCAGCCACAATGTCCTCTGCCGTCGACAATCTCGCCGACAACTTGGCCAACGCCAGTATCCAAGACCCCTCGAGCACTGATCAACAAGACAACGTCCTCGCCAGTGCTGCTGAAGGTCGTCGGTTGTACATTGGGAATCTCGCATATGCGACCACTGAGGGGGAGCTCAAAGAGTTCTTCAAAGACTACAAAGTGTGAGTATGAATCGATCACAACTCAGGAGATTGTCATTTCATTTCCGTCTTGATTTCATCACACCAATAGTCTTGCCGACGCCTACTTGCCATTCAAACAAGACTGACCTGTTTTACCGTAGCGAGTCTACCTCCATTCCTGTCAATCCTCGGACCGGTCGTCCTGTCGGATATGCCTTTGTTGATCTAGAGACCGCTGATGAAGCCGAGAAAGCCATCAACAATCTTTCTGGCAAAGAGATTCTGGAGCGAAAGGTCTCTGTTCAAGTTGCACGCAAGCCCGAACCTGCTGGAGATCCTGCCACCGGAGCAAATAACACCACTGAGCCAACAAGCGGTGGTGAAGGCCGGAAGCGAGGATCTGGCCGGGGCCGTGGGCGAGGCCGTGGTCGTGGTGGCCGATCTGCCCGTGGCGGTCGTGCTGTATGTCGCGAGCTCATTTGCAAGGAATCAAGACTGACACCTTCTAGGCTACTGGTGAGAATGGCGAGACTGCAGAAGCTGGCGCAAATGGCGAGGTTCTTCCTTTGACCGATGTCACCAACGAGGCCAACAAGGCTCCCGCTGCCGAGCCCAAGGAACAGAAGCCCCGTACTACTCGTCCACCAAAGCAGCGTGGTCCTCCTGAAGATGGAATTCCATCCACTACCAAGGTCATGGTTGCCAATCTACCCTATGATCTCAGCGAGGATAAGGTAAGCTATCTCCGATAGCCATGAAGCAGCCATTTCTGACATGTGCTCCAGCTCAAAGAACTCTTCTCTGCATATGAACCAACCTCTGCCAAGATCGCTCTTCGACCCATTCCCCGCTTCATGGTCAAGAAGCTCCAAGCACGCAACGAGCCTCGCAAGGGTCGTGGTTTCGGATTTGTCACGCTTGCATCGGAGGAACAACAGCAGAAAGCTGTTGCTGAGATGAACGGCAAAGATATCGAAGGGCGTGAAATTGCCGTCAAGGTGGCCATCGATAGCCCCGGAAAGGAGGAAGGCGCCGAGGAACCCAAGGAGAATGGCGAGAATGAAGAAGTCGCTGCCGCTGCTTGAACGAAGCTCGGCATGGTGACAGAGAGGTGGGTGGGTGGAGCAACGGTATTCTCTTATGTGAGGCATTCTCTTAGCTGATTGTGACGATGACGAGCCATGACTCGACAGCTTTTTGGAGGTTGCTGGACCAAAGATATCGGATGAGATTGCCAGCCAAGCATGGGATCACAGCTGAGGTGATATTGCCTTTTTTCTACTTTTGCCAATCAAGGGCTGTATCTGCATACGTAGGCCAATCTATACAATCTCGCTCAACCTTCACTGTATTATCTAGTGGCCTGTTCACCTCTGTCTGTGACTACACAGAGAGGAAGAGTCGTTCATGTCTCAGAAGAGAGGCAGATCCTGTCTGAACCATCGGCCCGGGAAACTCAACCACACGCTCTTTATGCATCCGTTCTCACTTCCATTTTGGTCTCAAGAGCCACCAACTGACTGACCAGCCCAGTGCCCTTGTACCCAATGCATCCATCCAATATGCCAGACGAGTAACCGTTGAAGCAAGCTTCGTCATAATCCAATCCAATCCAAACAAACCAAACCAAGTTACACCGACTTCCGCGAATACGAACCAGCGTTTTCACGGGAGAACGAGAGCTATCCATCACCAGTCATCCCAGCCATCATCCTCTCCCAACCCCTTGCCCTTTCCCTTCGTGGTTGCTGCCGCGGAGCCAAGAGGCGCACCCGCCAATCCCTCGCCGTTCCCGCCCGTCTTCATGGCCGCCGTGCCGATGCTGCTCGGTTTCGGCTTGGGTTTCTCGCTGTCGTGTGCAGCGGATGTGGATGTGGATGCTGTTGCTGCAGCACCGAAACTGTCCCAGAAATCCTTGCGCTCGGGCTCGGTCGCCTTCTTAGCGCTACCTGCAATGGCTCCGGCTCCAGCTGCAGATCTCGCGGTGGGCTCTTGGCCCTCGACGAAGCGGTTGAAAGATTCGGTGGCGGTCTTCGCGGTTGATTGGATCCCCGTGCCGGCCTGCACGGCCGCGGCACGGGCTTGGGCAGCGAGATCTGAGGATGCGATTTTGCCGGCGGTGGGTTGGATGTAGGTTTCGTTGACGGTTTTGGCGGTGCGGGAGAGCGAGGTGGTGAACCAGGAGAGGGACTGGGTGAGGGTCGCTATGGGGTCGGCCTGAGATTCTTGTGCGTGGGATGGGTCGGTGGGTGGTGGGGAGTTGCCGAATCCCCCTAGGCGTCCGCCCTGCGAAGGTGGGAGGTGGTCTGGTCGAGAGGCGTTGGCGGCGCCGAGTTGGGAGAAGTAGGCTTCTTTTTGTTCTTTTTGGGAGAGTGGAAGAGAAGGGTTTGAGCGCGATGCGGGCGATTCCGAGCGGCCGGTCGGGTTGGTGTTGGTGGCGGAGACGATTCCGGATACGCCTTTTCGAGGGCCGGATCCAGTCGGGGTTTGACTTCTAGAGCCCGCGTTTGTTGCTGCGGCTTTGGCCTTGTAGGCTTCCCTCTCTTTCTTCCATGTCTCTCGGTCAAAGTCCCTGTCCTCGACCTTTGCGCTTAACCTCTCTTTCCACTCGTCACCGACATCGCTTTCGTATCGCTCTTTTATGCTGCTGTCTTCGAAGCTCTTTCCTCCATTCTCGATGCCGATGTTGGAGTTGTAGAAGTCCTGCCATGCTTTGTTACCGCCATGTTGCATACGGAGGATCTCATTCTGTTTGAAGGCGTCCATGGATATTGAGCGGACGAAAGATATATGTACGCCGAGCCCGCGATGGGTGCCAGCGCAGGAGAGGCAGATGAAGGTGGAGAACTTGGGCGACGCCTGTTGTAGTCAGATGTCTGAGAAGCTTAAGCATTGGCGGAGGATAGGGTTATATACCCATTGTGGTGAGGGAGCTCCGCAGTCACAACATCGATCATTCCCACTCCCTTCTTTCTTCTGGATTTGGTGAAGCTGTTGTAAAGATACATGTTAGCACAACTAGGATGGGCAGAATCAATGGTCGGTGTGGATAGATTTAATGTGAGGTGCAACTCGCATAACTGTACATACCTTGCTTCGAGTCTCCGGATCTACTTCCCACATGTTGAATGTCCGCAATCAGTGGTTTTCGGCGTCCAGCCCAGGAAGGTAGATATCGCTTGGTGGGAAGGGAAATGTCAGCAGCTTTGAGACGACATTCTTTCCGAAAATTGTTCCCAAAATGGGCAGTGAGGAGGGGAGCGGGAGCGGTGTTCTTATGGCACTTATCAAAGAGGCCAAAGGTGCCCAATTGACACTTCCAAGTAAGTTAGATTTAACTTAACTTAGTATGGAGACCCTATAGCGGCGGTACGTGAGCAGGAAGAAAAAGGGGGAGGGTTTCTTGGCAAGTTCAAGGAAACAAAATCTGCTCCGCACTTTAACAACGAGTAGACTTCCTTATATTGCTAGGCACCCTTTTGGAAAAAGTGACACTATCTTGAGAGCACTACTACAAGATTGTTAGACTAGGAAAATGATACCTGCGTTTATATCTGAGACCTGATATCATTTGATACGGGTAAGCTGTCATAGCTTCGCTACCCAACTCAAAAGTGGCACTATCAGGATGAAGAGCAAAGTCAGATCAATCTGATAAAGAGATTAAGCCTCCCAGCAGCATCCTCGTCTGTCGCCACTATTACGAGTTGTAATGGATTAGCAAGAAAGTCACGAATATAGCGTGGAAGTGTAAGTGTTATTAGTTCATTAGAGAAACAATCCACCAGTAGAGTTGTGCCACAATCGAATGAAAGCTACAACAAGCAGCATAGGAGACCTCAAAGCCGTGCAGAAGGGGCCCTGAGTTCAGGTCTTCCTGTACCACGCCTTGCGTACTCGTTTGCATCTAAATGTCGAGCAAGATATGCCTACTGTACCCTACGCAAGGGATTGCGAGTAGTGGCGTTAGTGGATGGTGTATTGTATTATCATACCCACCGTGTGCCTGCTCCTGTCTTGGTTAGTGATGCAGGTTAGAGTTAGTCTTTGTGCAATGGTATCTTGAGACCCCCTTGCTGGGTGTGATTTATGATAACGTGATGGCTATCATGTTGACCCTAGCCCTCTTCCACCATTAATCTGTCTACCTTTCTCTCAATCCCTCCCCAAGACCACATCTCGCCGTCCTGGCCCTTCACGACGTTCACCCTGATTATTGCGTAGCGCGCCGTCATTGCAGAGGTCTAGGGAAGTCAGATCGAATATTCTCCAAGCCACTATACCTCATGCCTATGGAAATATGAGAACGGGGGAAAGTACCTTGTTCAATGGCGCATGTCCCACCACGGTGTCGAAGAATATCTGCAGGTCAGGGGCCTTTTCAAATAACTTTGTCACTACTTTCTCGAAATCCTGGCGGTTCCTCTCAATACATCTTCGGATCTGATCATCGTTGAGCGGGCCATCAGGAGTACTGGGTCCAAACCCCATACTGCTCTCCCATTTCAGATGGAGTTTTTTGAGGGTAGCAGGCAGTTCGACCACGACTATATCATTCGGAATGCTTTTGAAACCCCTCACCTCAACATTCTGAAGACGGGCCATATTGTGCGGTCCAATCCTGTGTCGCAAAACATGGAGGTAGGTTTCGTGTTTCAAGCTAATTGTGGCGAGTTCGTAGAAAAATGGGAGGCATTCATCATAGCACTGTCGGCAAGTGCGCATGATCGCCCCAGGACCTTGCTCAATCAACGCAACGTCACTAATAACAGTAACCTTTAGATTTGAGAAGAGATTGCGGTAAATCATAGTCCTCAGTTCATTTGGCAAAAGCAGAAAGGTACTTGGCGAGGGCATCCCCCCTTCTGGTGTCATGGCGAATGGAGTGTCGCTGTATGGTGCTGTGAAAGCAGACTGCGAGTATCATGGAGGGTGTCGTGTACGGTGTTGTGTACGGAGTCGTGTACGGAGTCGTGAATGCCACTTTCTCAGGAAGCAAACCAGTGGGCCCGGAGATCATTGGATTTGCTGATACTTCTCCTGGCACAGATCCTTTGAGGCTGAAATAATTGGTCAGGACGCAGCACCAGCCCCTTACCGTTTTCAATCCAAGTATCTCCCATTTTCAAACGAAGAGTTGGAGATGGACGGCCAAGCGTAGTTGACAAACGAGTGATGCACTGTACTGTACTGTACTGCCTCGGTACGAGGTAGAGACCTGAATATGCCAAGCATTGCCTAACTCGAGGGATCGCAATATTTGTTGCCCGACTACTATACTATGGTACTACTCCGCAGTAGTACTCAGTATGCTCACTTCCTCCAACTTACTACTATGCTTCAGGCTTCAGGATGTTGTATTTTCAGGCGAATGGCCAGAATCTGCCTGTCCACCGCTCTACTTTTCCCGAAAGGCAATTTGTGGTCGTACGTCTCAGGCTTTAAAGTTTGGTTTGGAACTCCGTTTCAGCTCAGAGAGAAAGTACTGACCATCTTTTCACCTCTACAAATTATTGTCCCATGAACCTTCTCCTCTCTACTCGCGCATTCTGGGTTTCATAGAGAGTGACTTTTGTTACTTGTGAGATGATCCAAATATTTTTTTTGGCCTGCTGATTTCCTTGACGATGCACGTGGCGATATGCTGGCTTGTGGATATGCCATGTAATAGATATGAGACATGAGGCATTGATGCCACTTGCTACGTCTAAGTTGTTACTGGAATAAATCAAGGACAGGCATTTCCCTACTGCCAAGTTCATCGCAACGAATCCAAACGATTCTACCAGGGTGGAAGGTCAAACATCGAAGCATATCGTTTATGCTCCAATAGCCCAGGGTCCAGTTCCAAATCCTAGAGGTGAGCCTGCTGCACGTGCTCTGACCTGGACTGCCTCTCACGAAGTGCTATCTGACTTCTTACCTACCCGCCTGTCTGATATTTTTGCATCAGTGCTGAGGTTGTATGTTTTCAGGCCTTCATTCTGTCATCGGATTCGCGTTCGCGGAGTACATAAAGCCTTGTTGTCACCCATCTGGTATTTCATTCTTCAGACATTGCTGTTCTGACTCTCAAGAGCAAATATACCGTTGTCTCCCCTCAAAAGCTGTCTCAGGAGCCCTGGTGGCCACAAACTTGCTTGAACAGCATAATTTCATCTTGTTCTTGATTCACATCTTACCAAAATAATCTCACTCTTCGGGCCTTAAGACTACGCCAAGATGTCTTCGCTCCATCATTTGAACAATGCTGGCAGGCGATACCAGGACGCTGCAGATCACGAGCAGGCTAATCACCTAGCACACCGCCAGGGGGGCGGCCTTGGCAACATTAGGAATCTTTATAGCGACCATAACGAGCGACTAGGTAATCACCCGTTTTCCTACCTCACTCATTTACTCCTCTCAAGTCTGGCATAAGTGTAGAACTGGAAGCTGACGTGCTGGATAATTGCAACAGCGAACGGTGATAGTAGTCGCCGTACTCAACGTCTAGAAAACTCTCTCAATGAGAGCAGCCAACGAATTGCGCCGGAGAGGAACGATATGCAGAGAAGAAAGGATGTTGAAACGTCTTTTATGAGGTTTATAGGCTCCCAAGATACAGAATGAGGAATCTGTATCGCTTTTCTACTTGAAAGCAAACACTGACCCTCCATAGCTGGAAGACAACGCGAAGTGGTGAACGCCTACCAAAGGAGATTGCGGAACAGATCGCCAGTTACAACGGACAAACTGCAGTTTGGGATACGAAACTCAAAGCCGGAAAACAATATGCCGGCAGGGATGGAAAGCGATAAGGTTCTAGGTCCCCGCGACACCTACGTGGCCGACCTAGAAGGCTGGCAATGCCGCTTAATTGGCTATATACATTGTACCTAACTAGTCCCTCATTCAGATGATCGTGCTTGATCTGCCGGTCAGACCAAGCATCAGTATGTATAGAGATCTCACTCGCTGACCTTGGTCCTGGTCCAGAAAGTTCTTGTGTCTTAAGAGAGAGAGAGAGAGAGAGAGAGAGAGAGAGCCGATCCATTTGCAATGGAAATGTTTGCCTAGGACCGCTTCTCCTTCACCCCACCCTTGCCCGGCGCAACCCAGTGTTTGGGGGTGCTTCTCATTAGGGGAGACACATATTTAAGGCCGGGTCCAACTTCTCAAAGCACTGTCTGGTGTTAGCATTCTTATGTGATTCCTGACCAGCTGTTGGCCACTTCAGTCTGGCGCTAGTCACGCTTCCTCCAGGCGGCCTTCCCCTTGTCGAAAAGGGATGAGCGTCATCCTTGGTCTGTGGCGCCGAGCTGGCGCAGAGGGCCATTCGAAAGAATTAGGGATATTTGCTCATGCCCTGTCTGAGCGCTGAGTTGGTATCTACAGCCTGATTTGGCTGATTGCCCTTTTGACAGTAAAACCCAAGTATTTCAATCTTTGAAGGGGATATTTGCGAAATGAAAAATGACCGTCAGACCAAGCACAGCTCAGTCGATATAAACAGTTAATTATAGAAGTCATGAGTAGTTTAATGGTGGGTAGAGGAACGAACAGACACAAAGACAGGAATCTGTCTAGAATCTCCATCAAACAAAGGGATGTCAACCTCCATTGATGTCAACCTCCACTTGGCTCTACTTCCGGGCTGAGCATGATGCAGTCTCCACACCTTGGCGTCAGGGGCACTGTTAGGGACGACGAGAGCGACATCCTCCAGAAACGAGGTACTGCCAGCAATCCACGCGCTACGTTGCAGTACAGCACATGATGAGGCGAAGGAGTACATTCTTGCACGACCCGAAGCTTGAAGTCGACCCTCGGCAGCTGTATCTCTCCGGCGATCGTTTCGTGATTGAAAATCTGCGGGCAGCGCGAGAGGAGAGGCTGACTGTCGGTTTCGACGAGTTGCCTGAAGAGGTAATCAGCTTCGAATTTATTCATTGCGCACTTGTCACTGACAGGGCGAACCTGATATAGCTATGGCAAGTCCTCCGGCAAAGCCATGAGCTTCATATCCGGTGGGCAAGCGAATATATCTACGATGCCATTCCCCCCTTCGTCTCCAAGATCTCACCGGGCCTGCATGTCTTCTACACACCTCTGCAAAGACAGTCGGGGTACGATATATGTTTAAAGAGTAAGTGACATAGTGTATGTGCTGATGTCGCCGACGCAGCGACCTCCTCTGTCCTTTGCTCCATAAAGTCTTCTCCAGCACTCTCAAATGCTCGAGTCCTCTGTCCACTTTCACAACACCGCACTTGCGCTCCGGACGATTCGCCTCGACATCTTCACTGCAATATCATTCCTTGTTACCGTCTCTCGACTCTCTCACTCAATACTTCCAACGCTATCTATGCAGGCACTCGGATCAGCAGTGCCTCCATTCGGCCTCTCTTCTGAACGTCGCCGATACCGTCGACATTGACTACGACAGTATATCCCATACCCTGATCTTTACAGCGCACTGGTCCCGACCTCCAGCGGTGCTATACGACCCTCTTACCGGCAGAACTACAGAGAATGGATGGTCACTAAGCGTCAATACGTCCGCCAACGCCGAGAAAGTTGAAGTTGGCGTCCTCAGCAACGAACCACCAACCGACCCTTCCGACATCAGCCTCTCCGGTTTCCTCACCGTTGTCGGGGAAGATGACCACCCCAAACCAACTCTCTTCTCCTTCCCATCCCGTCACCACGCCCTCCCACCACCACAGTCCCAAGACCAAAGATACACAGTCTCCTTCCTCCAACCAACAGGTCTCCACCCTACGATGCAAATCTCCTTCCCCACAGCATCCGCGCTGCAACCCCCAGCCAACAAACCAGCCGACAGCGCCTGCACTTTACACACCTACCTAACCCTCCCCAGTGCCCTCTTCGCCGATAAATACCAACTCTCCGCCACCGCCGACACGATATTCATGCAATCCCACCACCTCACAGCGCTGCGTGCGATATCCGGAGAAACCGACCTCGAGACGCCTGACTACGTGGTCGAGAAATGGGGGAGCAATCTACTTCTCGAACTTGCCATCCCGCCCTCCTCCTCCTCCTCCTCTTTACCCAAATCAGCCAGCTCCACCCCTCCAAACCAAGTCCCAGACCCATCCTCAAGAGGCTGGAACATCACCATCCCCCTCCACCTCCGCTACCTCCCCCCCTCACCCACCGGCCACTCCACGATCGACATCCCGGACCCAATCCTCTTCTGGGCCTGCACCGCGGAGGAAGGGACCAAATTCCCCGTCAACCCGTTCGATCGCGTGAATCTGGGGTACGAGGGCTTGTTTGGTGGGCGCACCATGTTTTATCATTTGGATCCCGCTCCAGCTCCGGCTCCGGACTTAGGCGCTGCTGGGAGAAGGGGGAGGGGAAACCTCGTGCAGAGGATCCCGGTGCCGGTTCTGAACACGGAGGCATGGGGCGCGGAGTGGGTGGAGTCGGGGGCCGTGGCGTGGGTGGTCTGGCGGCTGTGGGCTTCGAGGTTGTCGGTCAGAGGGGAGGCGGGGCCGAAGGGCGTAGCGGGGCGTGTGGAAGCGGATACCAGAGAAGGAGGAGGAGGAGAAGGGCATGAGAGCGAAAAGAAGAAGAAGAAGCAATAACTTGCGGCAGAGAAGGCATGTCTCGATTAGCGTTATCACTAACTTCGCATCTCCTTGCCTAGCCTCCGATATGGCATGGTGGTTAGTGGAGTGTAATCATAAGTAACTTACAGTATGAAGCCATCGCAAGCACCAGGCTTAGCCCCGTAGCTAAATAGAACAATTATCTAGCCGGCGCTTCACTGTATATAGTGCATTGTGTCGAGAAGTCATCGATCGGTCCATCCATCCATCCATCCATCCATCCATCCCAAACCCTGAGCAGCTCCCTCCTTCCAGAAGCAAATAGAATAGCAGATCAATCACGTAGCACGCCATTCCTAGTAGTACCCCAGATCCGCCAAGCGTGCTCTCTCACGAGGTGGTATAACAAGTATATAAAAAAGCTTCACCATCATCTCCCCGCGCCAGCACCGTCTGTGCCGGAGATGCTGCTCCATACACTCTCCAGCATGCCTTCCTGTCCTCCCTCCACCTTCTGATCCCCATCGATATTCCCACCCTCCACCACCGACTCAACGTCCAGCTGGCTACTATAGATCACCGCAGCAAACGCCTCCAGCTCCCTAACCTCCCTCTCCATCGCCTGCACATACTCGTTGTTCGGCGGCGGCGGCGGCGTGTTCCCACTGCCAATCACGTGGGCTTGACGGGTCAGGAGCGCGAGGATAGTGGCGAGCTTAGTCGTGGGTTCTGCTGGCGCTGCGGTTTCATGGTTGTTGGCTGGGACGACGGTGACGGATGAGGAGATCTCGGTAATGCGTTGGAATTGTGGAGGAGCTTCGGCGGAGGATTGAGGAGTAGAGGAGGAGTTGGGTTGGGTTGGTGGAGGAGGGGCAGGAAAGGCTTGCTCGCTGACTTTCTTGTCGATGAGATGGGAGAAGAGGGAGTTGAGGAGGAGAGTGTGGATTCGGGTGAAGGTGGGAGATTCTATTAGATCGGAGGTTTCGTCTAGGAGTTTGCGGAGGCGGCTCTGGGGCGTCTCGAGGCCGGATTTCGTCGCGGCAGGCTGTGGTGGTGGTGGTAATGAGGTGGGCCGTTGATCAGATGAGGAGGCGGATGATGTGCTTATTGATGGTGGGGTGAGGACGCCTGCTTCGATGAGGAGGTCTTCCTCTTCTGCTCGTGGCGGAAGGAGGTACGCCAGCCAATTCTTAGCTCGACGCTGTGCTGGGGTTGAGCCTTCAATCTTCTGGCGCACTTGGAGGGTGAGCTCGGAGAGACGAGTGGCGGAGATTGCTTCGGTGGGAGATATAGTGCCGAATACTTCAGTGACGGCGGCCTCGACTTCAGACAGGACCTTGGTGTAGCCTCTATTCAAAAGGTACCAGGTGAACGCCAGGTAACGGCGGTTAGTCTCGAAATCATTGCCATACGTGGGCCCGCCTGGACTCCCGGGGCTGTCGTTATCCTCGAGTGATATTGAGTTGGCACGCTCTAGTGGTAAAGGTCGTGTGGTAGAAACGACAGAGAAGAGGTAGTTCAACCGGCCGAGCAGGTTAAGCTGAATTCTGGTGAGGAGAGTGAGAAGAGACAATGTGTATAGAAGAGTGAAGGCGCGTGTTATGGAAGAAATCTTGACTTCATTCCACAATTGCGCCTTGGATTTTCTCGGCCGTCCTGAACCATTCTCGGGCTGCGTCAACTGGCTAGCATGAATGTAGCTGGAGGACTGGAAGCTCGACAAGCTGGAATTGTCTCCTCCATCCCTCACGCTCGACGGTCCTGAACTCAATTCAGAAGGCGTGCCCTCTCCACTAGATCTAGCAAGTCGCTCTGCTCTCTTCTGTTGTAGCTCGTGGGTCAAGTGCTCCACGGGTAGAGCTTCGAGAATGTTTTCTGTCACGTTCGGTAGTAATGCCAGGACGGTGAAGGTGCAATCAGTCTGGTTCTGCTCAAAGCGCCGGCGTAAACTAGCACGGGTCAATGGTTGCGCAAGATCTGTGAGAGGAAGAGAGGAAGCGAGGACATACTTTTCCCGAGCTAATCGATCAGAGGTCATACGCTCTCGAGCTTCTGAAATCTTGCCTATCACATATTGGCCGGCCAGATATGTTGCGCCCACAACCCCGGCAGCAATGGCAATACCACTGCGATTGCGCCGCACCCAACGACGAGTGGCTGATATCATGTCCCTAAGTGGTCAAGGCTATGCTGTCGATCTGCTCATGGTCCACCAGACTCGGGTTCACCAGACTTGGGGGGTAATGAAGCATCAGCTGTGCCGGGTCAGCATGATCCACGGCGCATGTAGCAGGCGCAAATACTATACGGAGCATGGAGTATGATTGCATAGATCATCCACCCCTAGAAGAGTGTGGCTTGCATGCCTCGGCTCCTTGCGCTTTGGGGCTTTGGGAGGCTGGGGATGCTACTACGGGGGGGCCATGAATTATTGTTAGTTCAGCGCTAGTATCTTTACTCCAAAACGTTCTTTGTACGAAACAACTAAGCCCATATCAGACCAAAAGTAAAATTTTAGCTCATTTGAATGGTCATGCTTCAATCAAGCTTTGCAATAACAAATCACAGCACCACAACAGAGTAAGAAGAACTAGCCGCTACTAGCACCAGACTAACAATAATTATGCCTGCCCCCGTAGTAAGTACTGCAGTGTTACTAACTACTACTACTTAGTACTACTAGGTATCTTATCGCATCTTAGCACCCACCCCTGCGGAAGCGGGCCCGCCGCCCTCCGGCCTGTGGTGCTCCCCAACAATAGTTACATAATCTGCTGACCTGCAGTGAACATGCCACATGCAACATGCAACATGCAACATGCAACAACTTGAATCACAGTAGAATCATTTTACCGGACACATCTCAGCTGAAGCTTCGCACTTTTCATACGTGATCGACCATGTCATAAGCGTCTCGCCCTTGGATGGTACGGTGATGCCAGCGGCGCAACCCGCAACCCCGCCATGGAACACAGGGCACCAAAGGAATATGTTCTAGAGATCTTTGCAGACCAGACATTCGTCAAGGACATTGTCAAAGGTCAGCGGCGGAATCATCAGAATGTTACAGCGGCAGCTAATCTATCAAATGCAGCCGTGCTTCATACCATCTTCTTCCATCGATATTTCCCCCCTATCCGCCCCTCCCTGCGCGATCTCCCCCAGCTTGACATCACTCTACCCTACATTGCCGATCCCCCAGAGATTGAAACACTTATAGACACCCGCACAACGGCCTTAGTACACCAATTGACCTCGGCAGACACGCCCAACGGTGGTGTCAGGGGTCAGATAGCCATCCAATTCTTCGAAAAAAGAAGACGCAAGACTGGAGGATGGCTGGGTGGGATAGGGAGAGGAGCGGACGAGGAGGTGTGTTGGGAGGAGTGGCTACTGGAAGTGACGATTGCGAAGCCGAAGACCGAAAGTGGTATGCCTACCATCTCCGCGCAGACGAACCTGCAGCTGCTAACTACTCTGAATGTAGAGAGAACAAAGTTGCGAAGAGCCATGGAAAGTTCATTGCAGAAGACGGCAATGAAGATATTGGCCATCGTGAATAGGGATAAGGACCATATACCACCTATCACCACTCATGATGCCAACCCTTTTCCCTATCAGCTCGTTTTAAACCCAAAACAGGAGGGATATGGTCATCGGTTTGGAAGTTGGAATTGAGGAAACAGACATATACCCGCATGCTCTCTTTCGAGAGATATTGAGATACCCTCGTCAACATTTTCGGGCCAGAACAACGAGGACACTGCAATTATTCCATGATGTCGTGTTCATGAAAGACTGCATTCTATCAACGCCGCAAGCTTCCTTATTGCGAGCAGTATTCCCATCCTCAAGCTGCAACCAGGCATCAAAAAAGCCATGTCATAACCCGTCCAGCCCACTACAGCATAACCGTTTCACTGAACATCCTTCACTCAAAGCTCGATCGAAATGACAGGAAACATGCCACTGGTCATCGAAACGTCAAACCATATTTGTCTTTCGAACATCCATCATTCTCCTAGCTTGTGCCTTTTACTGGTTCTTGGTGGCAGAATCGGCTTTGGCACGAAGATCGGCGGCGGTAGATCCACTCTCAGAGAAGAAGCGGGAGAAGACTGGCTGAATGAAGGATCGGAACACGACCTGGGCACCACTTGTCTGAGGAAGAGCCATCCATAGGACAAGGATGAATTTGAATGTGTAGTAGAAAGCTGTGGGATCTTAGCACTGAGCATGTTCACTTTGAATGATCAAGTCATACGGAACCAGTAAACTGCATTTATGGCGCTTTCAAGTACAGTCAAGAATGCATAGACCACCCAATACTAGATTGGCATGTGATCAGTCGCGTGTGCGGATTGGGGGTTGGATAATCAAGCAAACTCACCGTCAACCACTATATGTCCATTAGCATAGGGTTCAGCAAGCTCTACACAGCTGGGCCGCGGTACTGGGTAGGTGAACGTACCTGTGTATCATCGACCTTGCTGGAACTAAAGAGCGCATCGAGCGAGTAGTATCCCGGAAGCAGGAAGCCGGCAAAGTTGACGAGAAAGGCGCCTGCAATGTTGAAAAAGACGAGGAAAAAGTATAGGCTAAGGAGACCAAGAATAACGTAGACTTTAGGGACCGAAGTCTGCTTCTCAAGGTTGTTAAGGGCGGGATATTTAGAAAGCTATGGCGACATGTCAGCGTACTACCCCATACAACTGTATTGGTCTAGACACTAAGACATGGCAAGGAAGAGCTGAAGAGGCTGATGCCAGACTCTACGCTGGAATGAAACTAGGGTGTACACACCTCCTTATCCAACTGCGAGATTTGATGTTGGGCTTTATCTTGGAAGGACGACATCTTTGTGGGATAGCGAATAGTGAAGCCTGGCTGGAGAACGGAAATGAATTGATGTGATGGTTATGGAGCCTGTGCGTTTAGTTAACAATGGTGATGACCTAGTTGCCGATGATAATCGATAGCAGGTGAGAGGAGATGAGATGAGATGGTGTTGGGCGGAGCTTGGACCATGGATCAAAGATTCTTGTTCCATCTCTCGTGTTCTACGTAATCGGTGCAAAGAAAGTGCGATCTTGGCAGCCGTGTGATCATTGCTGCCGCTTTAAGAGGGGCCAATGGAAAGAGACAAAATAAGCAACACCGCTGATGCATTTTTCTGGCGCCAAACACATTCAGCCATTTTGACCCAACCATCCACTCCAATAAAGCAGCGTCACAATCTTGGCCCGTTGCTAGGGAAGATCCACTCGAATAATCAACAAGCTCGCGACCACCCACAAACCGACGACAACGACGACGACGTGCTGCATCCAGAGCTATCAATTGATGAACCACATGAGATTCCCAGAAGCCTAGTTGCTGTTGACAAACGGCAGTGTTCCTGCTTTTGCCAGGAAAGCAGCAGTGCCTTTCTGCGCATTCCATCATCACAACAAACAATTGTTGACAGACCCAGCTTGTGCAACACCCACACTCCAGCTGTACGCTGCAGGACAAGTCTCTGCTATTATGGTTCATGCACATGCTATCACCGAGATAGGTAAGATTCATGGCCCATGGCGGAAGTATCGATTGGGTGCCTCCCTAACATCACCATCTCTCTAGCTCGGCCGCAGTCGCAAGCAGGCCAAATGCAGGCACACTCCCATCACCGCCAAATCTCAAGCGCCACTCTGCCGGATACATTGCAGCGTTCTCGCTCCGATACCATGACTTCCACCAAGAGTAGACCACGACCCAAGTCGCGGGGGTCGACAACCAGCATACAATCCGCCGGAACCGCAACCCACTACCAACAAGACCAGCCGCTTCCGCATAGCATGTTCATACCTTCCCAACACCAGCAACAGATGTACAATGTATCTCCAGAAGAAATGTTGGCCAGATATGGACAAGAACAATTCGCCCAAATCCAACAGTATAACCTTGATCCGAGCCTGCCAGCACAACAACATAACGAGATGCAAAGTCATGAAATGCAGCAATATGCTATGCATTCTCAAGGTTACCCACAGGCGATTTCACAGTTCGGAGCATCAGACCATATTCAGCATGCACTCGCCCGAGCGGGTACCTTCGATGCTGCAGACAACCAATCTCCGGCGCCTGAGGACTCTGAAAATGCAGATAATGGCCAAAGAAAAAAGAAAGGATCTGCCACCAGCATTGCCAACGACGCCGAGTTGCGCCGCCTCGTCCAGCAGTACCAAGGACAAACACTAAAGACAGTTGCGGCAGAAGTTCAACAGAACGAAGGAGGAGGAGGGAAATCCGAGAAGGCGAAACAAGTCTTCGCTATGTTATGGTATGCATTATTCTCAAGTCTTCATTCTTGCAATGTTAGACAGGGCAGGCACGAGGATGCTCTTGCTTCCTCTTGGCTGAGCTGGCCAATTCTCCCTTTTGCCACTGCTTCATCAAAACCTCACGTACAAAACAGTTCATATGCTAACTCATCCTTAGGCTGCAAGAAAGCTGTCAGCGTAGCTCCAGTTCAGTACGCCGAGATCGAGTATTTCAGCGCTACACTGCACGATGTGGTGATGAAAGAGTGCCGACTTTGAATCCAGCATCGTTTGGCAAACTAGTGCGCATTATATTTCCTAACGTGCAAACTCGCAGATTAGGAGTCCGAGGAGAATCAAAGTATCATTACGTTGACCTGTCTTTAGTCCCGCTAGAGGGTAGCCAGACAGTCACATATCAACCTCAGACTATATCACGACCGGCCAGTCAACACGGACACAACAACTCCCTTGGAGAGGCGAGTATGTCTCACCCAAACCACACACGAAATGGAAGCAGTCACCAGCTATCAGCTGCACCACCACATACGGCTGAGTTTCCTGCACCAAGCGCATCCTTTGGATCTCAACCAATAGATATAGCGACCAGATACAACGTCTATCCGCCGCCACCAGTCAAGGCAAATGGAAAGATGCATTGTGAGAAGTCAAATGCTCCACTTTTGAGGATATCTACGAACCAAATGTCACCATCTCTCATCACCTGCCTTCCCTCGATCAGATCTTCCCTCCCAGCGACATTAACGACATATCTTGGCTTACCGTCATCCACCTCCCACACCTCGCCGTCTCTCAGCCAGACTGAAGCAAAAATTGAGCTTCCAGACATTCACGAATATCTTGCCGGCGTGCACTATGACCCTCCCATTGTAGACTCACTGAGCTCGCTCTACCGTTCATATTGCATCATGGTCATCGATTCTTTTCGCTTCTGTCGTGAGAAACCCTTCTTTCACCACCACTCTGCTTTCAACGGAACGATGACCGTTCCTGTCGCCAAGCTTCTAGCTGAACCACGAGTTGCATCGTGGATCCAAGAATGCGATATACGCATGTACAAGAAGATGATCCGATACATCGCACCACTGGTCACACAGGTCGTTCCTGAGCCAGTCTGGTCCATGTTTGACCGTGTCTCCACAAAGCTGGTCAGTCATCTTGTCAGCGCGTTTGAAGAAAAATGCCCCGCCCATGTTGTGGCTGCCAAAGTCGTTCCAGCAACGAGGTTTTGCAATCTGCTGAAGAAACTTGCCAGAGTCAACCAGGCAGCGAACAATGTTGCGCCGCTGCTGAGTGACGAGACGACGAGAAGTCAGATGTGGGCAGACATGGTGACCTTGGTGAGCCCTGACCGGCTGCTTGATGAAAGCATGCCGAGCCCTGAGTGCTGGACTGCCGTTGAGTGGTGTTTGAGGAACGAAATGAGAGCATTGTTGACACCCTTCGACGAGGAAGCTCTGAGGCCAATCGAGGCTCAAGATTCTACGGAATGGTCACAGTACTTTGCAAACACGGCTATCTTGGGGAAGAGCAGTCCGACTCAACCGACCAGTGAAAGTAGTCTTGATCGATGGATTCAGTGGTTAGAGAAGCTGCCAGAGATGTTTGAAGGTCATCATCCGCAATGCATTATCGACTGGCATACCCGCTTCTGGGACAGCATTCTGACACAGTTTGGCATGGGCGGAGCACAGAGCTACCAGGCATGGTGGTTCCTCAAGGCCTTTCTGTCCAGCATGCTGGGATGGATGACGCAGATGGAGGGGCTCTTATTGCCTGAGGCCGAACAGCGAAGGATTGACGACATGGAAAAGGAAAAGCGAATCCAGGATGAAGGATGGGCCGCTGGCCACGCATACAGCAGCGCTATTTTCGATGCTGATTCTAATCCTGTTCCCGGCTTGAAGAGGAAGAGAACACAAGATGATGTGGGTGGAGATGAGCGTGCTGTCGATCCGACGAGAAGTGGAAAAGCAAATGAAGAAGTCTATGGCTTAAGGCAGCAGGAGACCAGCAATGGGCATCGGGTCAGCGCCTCGGTAGAGGCTGGTACAATAAGTGACGAAGACGAACACGCAAAAGGAGACGACGAGGGAATGAACCATCCGTCGCTGGAATTGCCAAGCATTGAGACCGCCAATTCGCCGAAACGACCAAATCAGTCGTATGATGATAGCGGGATTAGTCTAGATGCTGAGATCGAAGACGGTGCTGAGGTAGTCGGGGGTGAGAATGCCGTCGCGGCAAATGATACTGGAACGGACGAAAAGGAGAAAGAAAGACAGAAACAGAAGCGGCTGAGGAGGGAATGGGGTATCTTGAGCGATGGGCCAGATGCTATGGGTGAGATTGTTGTTATATGACGCGAGTCCACCTGCCGCGTCGGGTCCTGTTTGACACCTTTTTGTTGGAAGTTCTTTGTCCCTCTTGTCCTGGCATATGTGTAATGGTGCACAGGATTCTCGGGGTCTTGGGGGTGGTGACGATGATGCAACGATGCGATGTGCATCCGATGTGATGAACAATTATGATGGGATACCCCTGGGTCGAGGTTTCTTAGTTGTGTGGTCTTGGTGCAGCGGTACTCTGCGATTGAGCTGTGTGTGATGAAGCCTCTATTTGGCCGCTATCGATATTTCTGATCCATGATAGCTTTGACAACAGCAACACAGCGCGCTGCAATACCTCATTGGGGCCTGGAAGACCTCTCTGCATGGGATTGGGATGGTTCAGTGCAACGGGGATCGATAAGCGCGAGGTATCCACAGGGCGAATCTAGGCGTCTGTGAACATTGACATTGATTCCCACATGCTGGCTACACTCAGCTTGGGAATGAACGGCATCATACTAGTTAGACAGTCCGTACCAAGTTCATTCCCGTCCGATTTCAATCGAGCTCAGAGTCCTGTTCGCGTGGCTAGTAGTTGGTTATTCTTCCTTTTTTCTATTCACCACAGTACTTAGTTCGTTGGTCACAGCCATTAGTTAGTATATATATGAACGAAAGGGGTTTGGTGGTCTAACTTGGCGGTGCCGACTGCTCCCAGCGGCTGCAGCCTATCAGTCAGGCGGCTCGTTGCTGGAACGAATTGAAATGTGTAGTTATAACCAGAGAGAGGCGACGAACTCCAGTCTCTGGGTGGGTATGGCTGCGCCAAAAAAAGAACAAAAAGAAACAGCTTTGAGCCACAAGCCAGCCAGCAGCTGCAGTCATGTTATACTGAGTTAGGCGTTTCAGGATGGGATTCTCACGTAGGGAGCAGCTGCGAGAGGGGTTTCTATGTCTGGATGAAGCAGACTGCCCTTCTGTCTCCCTCACGTAGGATTGCACTAAGATCAGACGCTCCCTCCACTACTTCCTGTTCCTGCCCCCCCCAAAAAGAGCTCTAGCCATTACCTAGGAGGACCCTCGGAAGAAGAAAAACAAGCCCCAGCACTGTGCTCTACAAATACAAGCCCTCGGGCTCACCCTCCGTCTTGGTCTTCATGACCCTCTCCCTGGCGGCCCTGAAATCCTGCATCTGAACCCTCATCCTCCGCTCCCGCAGCGCCAGCAAGCCCGCCTCACTACAGATGGCTTTGATGTCCGCACCACTCAGGTCGTCCTTCTGGTTGATAAACTCCTCCAGCTCAACATCATCAGCCAGGCTCATCTTGCTGGTGTGCAGATTGAAGATCTTCTTCTTGGTGTTCTGGTCCGGGTTCTCGAAGAGGATCTTGCGATCGATACGGCCCGGTCGGATGAGGGCCGGGTCGAGGGTCTCGATTTTGTTGGTGGCCATGATCACTTTGACGTCGCCTCGGTCGTCGAAACCGTCGAGTTGGTTGAGCAGTTCGAGCATGGTGCGTTGGATTTCTCGTTCGCCGCCGGAGGTGCTCTCGTAGCGTTTGGTGCCGATGGCGTCGATCTCGTCGATGAAGATGATGCTTGGTGCGTGCTCGGCGGCAACTTGGAAGATTTGACGGACCAGGCGGGGTCCGTCTCCAAGGTATTTCTGGATGAGCTCGGAGCCGACGATACGGAGGAAGGTGGCAGATGTTTGGTTGGCTACAGCTTTGGCAAGGAGCGTCTTCCCTGTTCCGGGCGCACCGTAGAGGATCACACCCTTAGGAGGTTTGATGCCCATCTCTTCATACAGTTCCGGGTGGAGCAGAGGCAATTCGACAGCTTCACGGACTTCCTGAACTTGGTTTTCGAGACCGCCTATGTCAGCATAGGACTCCGTGGGTGCTTTGTCAAGCTTCATGACAGAAACCAATGGGTCGGCGTCATCGGTCAGGACGCCCACAACCGAGACGGATTTGTGATGAAGTAAGATGGACGCGCCAGGTTCGAGGAGGTCTTTGTCTACAAAAGACATGATGGAAACGTAGTATTCGGGCCCAGTGGCGGAAGAGACGATGGCGTGGTCATCATCGATCATTTCCTCCAGATTGCCCACACCCATCGGACTCCCTCTCATATCATCAACGCGACCTCTTTCGTCAGCATTTCGGTCGAGCGCCTCTGATTCTGGGGCTGTTGAAGGGGCTGCAGTGTTGGCAGCTTTCGCTTTTCGGAGTCGTTCCTGATTCTCCACATATTCCTCTTCCAGGAGCAAGTGATCATGCACTCGCTGCATGCGAAGATATCGTAGCTTACATCTTGACGTCGGATATATGGTTGGGAGCTTTGCAGCGGCGTTAGGCCCGGCTGCCTTGCGCTTTCTTCGCCCAATACGGGTGGTTGGTTGTGGTGGTGGCTCGTACTTTGGCTTGTCCTTCTACGAGGAATGTCAGACAAAGCACAAACCGATGATCAGAAAGGATGTAGGCAGATCATGATTGACACCTACCTTCTTGTCCTTGTCATCCTTTCCATCTCCCCCGGGCGGCGGACCACCTAGTCCAGATTGTTGATTGCCCTAGAAGGGCGGGATTAGTTGGGCTCCTTTACTGCCAAAGTGATCAGCTCACCATAGATGCAGATTAGGCTGAGACGATGTAGAGACGACAAAGGCGTAAGAGAATACCGGCCAAGGGGCGAATCAAGGGAGTCCTGGGAGTCCTGGGATGCGCCTTGATGAGAAGCTGTTGATGAGCGTGTGACGAAGCAACAGTTGCGCCTGAACAGTGAACAGTTTGGGCCTTCTGGTCGCCGTGCCAAGGGGAAACTTGAGCTGCAGGGCGGAAGAGGCCGCCGCAAAGAAAAAGCTTCCACGTCACAATACCCGACCAAGGCGGCAGCAGAAACCCCTACAGGCATGATATTCCCAAACACAATCTATCAGCTCCACCTCAATCTTTGTCTTTGTCTCTGTCTCTACGCCGCTTCGCCCTGTAATTACTGTCATGTAATCTCTTGCCAGACTGCTGGCGACGAGTAGATTCTGAAGTCATCGGAGCAGTTGACCCTTGTTCATCTGGACTCTACGATCTCCGAAGCCTTCCTCGAGATTAGAACTTCTCGGAGTGATCGACGAGGAGTTGTTAAAGACTTGCTGCAACAAGAGAGCGTTCATTATCTACGGACATTGGATTGCATCTCGCACCACCTTCAGTCCCGCTGCGCCAGCTTTGCCTCGACCTCGTGCCTGAGGCCTCACTCGGCGCATATCCCTCACTTTGAAAGCCTTGGGGTAACCACCGAATCTTCCTCGGCCGCAAACTGCGAGAGGCTGGAATCGCGCTCATCGCGATGGCTTCGAACAAAGCCCGTCGTATTGCGAAAGAACTTGCCGACCTCCACGCGGACACGTCGTCACAGGTACAAGCAGATACTGTTGGCGAGGATGTGACGAAGCTAAGGGGGTCATTTGGTGGCCCTCCGGGTACGCCCTATGAAGGAGGGAAGTACGAGATCAACATAGATATTCCAAGCGAATATCCATTTCGACCACCTATCATGAAATTTGCTACCAAAGTCTGGCATCCCAACGTCAGCAGTCAGACGGTGAGTGAATCCTAAATGATAACCGCGCTTCATACTGACCCAGGAAAGGGTGCCATATGTCTCGACACCCTTTCTACCGGTTGGTCACCTGTGCTGACCATAAAGTCCGCTCTCATATCTCTTCAATCTCTATTGAGCTCACCAGAGCCCAAAGACCCGCAGGATGCCGAGGTTGCTCAAATGCTTATTAAGAATCCCAAGGAATTCGAGCGGGTGGCTCGAGAGTGGGCAGTGCGGTATGCCGGTGCACCGAAAAAGAACGTTGGTGAGGGTAGCGGCGGTGCTACAGCCGAGTCAATTGAAGCAGCAGAGAAGGAGGCCGAACATCGTGAGCAGGAAGCGAATCTCGCTGTTTATGAAGGATACAACAAAGATTTAATCGACCGCTTTGTCAACATGGGCTTTGATGTTGATCGGGTTGTGGCTGCTTTCAAGTATGTTGGAATTGATAGAATGGGTGGTGAGGACTATGAATTAGAGGAGGCCTACATGGGCGACATCACTGCCCGACTGCTTGGAGAGCCCTAAATCCAGTATCCAGTTACTGCCGAGACACATGTTGCTGTACAGGAGTCTGGGTGCTTTCAACAGGCGCAAGGCTTGATGGCGCTGCAACCAGTGCTCCAACGTTGTAATGGAATTGGCGGCGTATTTCGAAGTTTTTAAACAGGTACATAGGATCATAAAACTATTCAGTATCAAGACTACACCGTCAGAGTCCTGATGTTTTAAGCCACAATAAAGACAACCTCGGAAAATTGTCCGTTATTGTCGCCTGAAATTGGCATCTCTATCGCCATCCTCTTAGCAATAGCATGCATCAAGCATTATGTTCGTCTTCATATCCTTGCGCCTGTACAAATATCATCCACCATGATCGAGGACGACATCTACCGCTCCTCGACACAGTATCGGTACTGGTCCTACACCAGCGAGGCGCTGGCCTCTCTACGACAAAGTACGAACGAGCTTGCTTCGGAACGTGTACGGGCTGCATTTGGCCGGATTCGAGACGCCAAAAAGGTTCAGAATGCGCAGCAGCCGGAGCACAAGTCGGGAGAAGGGGGTGAAGGAAGGCAAGACCCAGCAAAAGATGTCGAAACGTTGACTGTAGAAGAAGAGCTCCGGGTGGTGCATTGGGGGTGCAGCAAGATCATTGAGACTGGCAAAGTCACGACTCCACCAATTCCCATGGAGATCAGAGTAAGATGAGCATCTAATCGCCCTCCTTGCGCTACGCCTAACGAGACGTTGTGTACAGGCTACAGCTATTCAATTCTTGCGACGATTCTACCTCACTAACTCTCCCATGACTTACCATCCGAAGCAAATCCTGACTTGTGCTCTATTCCTCGCTACCAAAACTGATCATTGGCACATTCCACTTTCGACATTTGTGGACAAGATCCCGGGCACAGAAGAGAAGGACGTCCGCGCTCCGGAGTTCCTTCTCATGCAGGGCTTACGCTTTACGTTAGATGTCCGGCATCCCATGCGAGGGCTGGAAGGAGGTGTCGGCGAGATTTTAAAGCTATTCGAAGAGAAGATGCTGCGACTCGATGGCCCAGATCAAAAGGGCAGAGTTGGCAGAGCAGCTGACCGAGCGAGCCAATTGCTCAGAGTCGCTGCTCAGATGACTGATGTGTATTTCCTTTACACCCCCTCTCAAATATGGCTGGCTGCCTTCATGGCTGCCGATTCAGATCTTGCCAATGCATACCTGGCATCCAAGATGGATCATCTAGGCCCGGCAGCAGCAAGTCTTCGTGCGAAGCTGGAATTGACGATCAGGTCATGTGCTGATATGCTCTCGAACTACAAGTCAGAAGACGAGGCTAACGAAGTAGAGCAAAAGGAGATGAAGAAGGAAATGAAGCGTATTGGTAGGAAGCTCCATCTCTGCCAAAATCCAGAGAAAATGGACCTTGTTGCTGTGACCAAGCAAAAGGCTGCGGAGAAACGGGAGGGTAGTGAAAGCGACAAAGAAAGAGCTTTGAAGAAGAGAAAGTTGGAAAGAGAGAAATTGGAGCGAGACGGAGACGTGTTTGGGCCTTCTCTGAAAAACTCAAACGCTTAACTCCAGTGGCTAATAGATTGAGCTGCCTTGACGAGCTTGTAACAAGTACCAGCTGTCCAACGAAGAGGAATGGCGAGCACAATATCTTTGCAGATGACAATGAAGTCATTTCACATGTTGAAATCTACATCCACATGTCCGGTCAAGGTTCTAAGCTCGAAACCTGGGGGCACACATTTGACAAGCCCAGGATTTGGATTATCCGGATCCATCGCAATGCAGTTGCTGGGAATTGACATGTTGTGCCAGGCCTTTATGCCTGCTACACATTTAGAGATGCGTCCTTCTGAGTAAGAGTGCATTAGCTAAGCATGTTCGTGCGACCTTCCGAAAGGGGAATGTCGATCTTCCCAAAATCACCTTGTCCGTGGATCATGATGATAGTCGAGCCCATAAACGGTCGGCAGTCCGGCTTCACGAATTCTTTCTCAGCAGTTCGCCCCTCTTTGCTTGTGTCTGGCTGCCAGCTACTCCACATGTCCATGCCCAGTATGCTTTACGCACACTATGCGCATTCTGTGAGAACTCTACGCAAGGACTCATCGTTCCCGGGCATCAACTAGCACTGGCTTCTCGTTTGTCTGTTCTCCAGAACATTCCGGCTAACGGATTGGCGGATTGTGCGGGGATCAAGCCAGTTGATGTATTTCAGGAGCACTGGAACCGTATCACTAAGGATGTGGATATTCTCTCAAGCGGTGCATTTCTCAAACTTTCCTGTTCGTTTGCTGTATCTCTGGCAAGATTGAGACAAAAACATGACATGTTCCTTATCCTTGACGTCGACCATTTCTCCGGGGTGGCTAGCGGCACATCCTTGACTTTCCCAGAATGACTGCACCACAGCACGAATCGTGGAATACGAAAATTTCAAGCATGAGCTCGAAAATGACGCTAATCTGTCACATGCTGAAAAGACAGACTGTCTGGATGCTCAAATCGGAATTGGCCCAACCATCGATTCCACGAGAGTTCGGTAAGCATCTCATTCCCTTGCTGTTCGTCATCTGGTTCGTTGACGGCATTCAGATCCGAACATAGTAGTCTCATGCGTTGTGCAGGTTCTTTTATGTGTTGACAGCAACAACATTGGTAATACCTGCATAGATGTTTGGGCGGCCCATCTGCGCCTTGATGGAACTAAAACCAAACGTTATTGTTCCTAGACTTATCATTGGAGCATTGAAATGGTTGCTAACGAGACTTTGAGTTGCACTGGTGGTATTATGTCTGCAGCAGACTTGTCGATATACCATGAGATTGGATTATCAAAAAGTTGCGTGCTAGCTACTATCTCCCACGTTCGATCATCTATTGGAGAGTTGTAAGCACGTTCCTTGGCTTCACAAAGTCAATCAGTGGTGGTCTGATGGCTGCTCGACCGTGGCATCTTAGGTGAGATGGTAGGGTATCTGAGAAATTTGTACCGAACGTACACCATTCTGGTATTTTTTTCTCTTCAGAATCCATGATGCTTATTGACCATAAGAGGATCTGGTGTAGTTAGCTTTGTTTTACTGCGTTGCTCACTTGTGCGGAGCTTTCTGGGGTTTACTCGCTACTGGCCTGGCACGGATTCATTATGGTGGTTATAATCGTGGGTCTACCTGACTCCAACTAACCACAGTCACGAATGTCAGCTCTCGCTAAACGATCGGATAGGGTCGCCAAGGTCAGCTTGTTCCGTTCCTGCTTCCAGGTCTTTTATTAGGAATCGGCTACTCGTGAACAGATCTTCATTAATGGCATCATGACTGTCTGGCTCGGACTGCCGACGATCTACTTCTTGATCATACTCCCAAGGATGCCACCTTCTCGAACGAGGAGCAGAGGTGGGTAGCTGTGCTTCGTATGGAGCTTCATCTGCACTGCGCTACGGATCAGAGAGAATGCGGAATGAGAACACTTCCAATGGCGGTGGGTGCGGATGGCACTTCTTAGCCCAAATACGATGATCTAATCACTAGCCTAGCTCGTCCTCCTGACACCGCTATATGTAAGTCAGCCAGGCTAAACCTTCGCCGTCATACTAGTAGCCTGACGATCTTGGGATAGAGCTATTCGTTGTTCGGTCCAAATGTCATCAAAGTACTTACAACGTAGTAGTTACACTGCGACCACAGCACAGCTTTTTACCGTGCCACCAATTGTTGAGCATTCTGCCTCGTTCTGGTATCTGTAGGATTTTCCGATAGATTGAAAGCTAGAGGATCCTTTATGCTAGCTGAATGTGCTCTGGCAACCGTCGGATATATCTCGCTTATTGCTACGAGGTAGCCTGCTGTCAGCTATGGTGGCACCTTTTCTGTAGCTGCAGGAGTTTCCTTCGCGAGCGAGAAACCATTCAGCCGAGCGGTAGAATCTCACACCTGACGAATCATTATCAGGGTTCGCCATAGTAATGGACTGGCTCTCGAACGATTTAGCCCCTCACTAAGTTCGTGCTACAGGTGTCGCTGTTCAGAGCACAATCGCTAGTTGTGCGGCATTTATGGCGACATTCACGTATCTGCAGAAAGATGCGCAAGTACCATTAACTCCATAGACGCTTTGTCGTGTACTCTCAAGTCGCAGGTCATGTTACACACTTGGCCATAGCATTCAACCTCGGTGCAAAGGCGCTTCATAAATCCTCACCAACAGCTGCAGCATCCTTGACTGCCTATGGAAGAACCGGAAGCGAGAGCATGGTGGCCGAGACATGCGTCTGACGGATGACAACCAGGTCTTGCCTGGACATACTACGTACATTTCCATGCTTTCGCTACGCGATATAATTCGTACAACACACCCCACCAGACCCAAGGCAGATCAACGAGAACGTCGTCTAGGCACCATGTGTTTCTTGTACATTGAACCTTGGGAAGATTGTTTTAACGCAGTATACCCCGCCATCTGCTTCACCATGTATTGGGCCCCGGAGCCTGATCCCCGCTACTATAAAACTCAAAATCATTATCGGTGTTTCTAATTGGCTGTTTTGACGGCTGACTCGGCGACTTGCAGGAGCCTCTGTTCCCCACTCGGGCAATGGCATCATTTCTATATATGATGACCATAATATTTCTCTGCCATCGACTGCTTCATATTAGCTCTGTAAATAAGTCATCACACACCATATTCGAAAGATCTGGTCGGAACCGAATACTGCTGATCTTCATTAGTCTGAGTAGCTCGTGCATGCGGAATCTGGAAGACCACACATCATCCCCGGTTCAGTTTGGGTCACACAAGCTTTTGGATGGCGGCAGATCTTTTGGATGCAGTCGGGATGGATACGAACCATCCGACATCCTAGCACTTTCATGCACATGCACCGCACTAAGTACTTGGACATGTACAGACATGAAAAGAGTTCCATGCTCTGGTACCGAACCACCCAGAGCTCCCGCTTGCCCCGTCGTGGCTGTGACTTACATGCAGCAAAATGCATTCATGAGGCTCTCCTCGGGAATTAATCTACACTACAATATTAAGACGGTGGGGCTAATTGACCAGGTGGATTTCCATAGGTCTGGTTCATGGTTTGCTATCCCTACCGATCTTCCGAACCCAACGACATGACTTTGGATGGAGCACGCCTTGTGAGGACTACGCCTCTTCTGGTCAGGCAGACTTGAACATCATGTTCCTTCTTGAGCATTATCTTCGCCTAATGCCATATCGGTTCTTCCAGCTGATTGGAGCGATGCACCACCGCAGCAGGATTCAATAGTCAGGGTCAGCCTAAACATAGAATCAGCACAACACTGACGTCTGGCCATCGCTCTCGCAAGGCGATCCTCCGTATTTGACGCACTTATGGTCATACCTTTGACCTCCAAAAGCACAGAAACAGACTCGAACGTGCAGATGAGTCTGCCGCTTTGCCGCACGGATCGGGATGGACATGCGATCAACAGTGCCTGTTGCCTCTTCACAGACTAGCATTGAAGCATGTCTTACAGCTTACCTTGCCTTGAGATGCAGCATGTGGGCTTGAAGATTGCATGCAATGGCATCCGACACGCAGAAGAGTTGAACCCTCGAAGCCCTGCGGTGGGCGGAGAACATCTATAAGAACCACCTCAGTCCCGCCTGAAATCACTGCTCTATCAGGTACCTGAATCAGCTCTTTCTTCGTCCTCCAACAGTCGCTATAGCCCAAGTTATTTCACTCATCTCTCGCTTTTACCACCATATATCTCTACCTTCGAGGCTAGGAAGATGTTGTTCTCTCTTCTAGGTTGTGGCAAGCTCGCCGTGATCGGCCTGGGGTAAGGACTAGTCGATTCCTGTCTATTCCTTCCCAGCTAATCATTGTATAGTGTTCTTGCTGTGGCCAATCCCATGCCAGCAAATCCCCACCCAACTCCTACCAAGGAGGACAAACATAACCCAGCCCCCAAAACGGTCACTGAGCATAAGACCATAACCGTGACCCATCCCGTTACGGAGTTCAAGACCGCTACCGTTACCGTTACCAAACAAGGAGAAGATAAGACTGTCACCGTTACCAAGGAAGGAGAGAAAAAGACTGTTACGGAGTTCAAGACCGCTACCGCCACCGTTACCAAGGAAGGAGAGAACAAGACTGTCACCGTCACCGTTACCAAGGAAGGAGACAAGAAGACCGACACCGTCACCGTTACCAAGGAAGGAGACAAGAAGACCGTCACCGAATACAAAACAGTAGAAGGCCACCCCGTCACCGTAACGGCGTATGTCACAAAGACTGCAGACTGTCATGACTATGGCTACGGCTACTAGAGGACTTCAAAAGGTCGAAGTCATCAGCTTCAAGGAGGGATTATGGCTGGCGAGGGGGACTTTTAATTCGGGAGGCTTCGGGGTAATCTTGGAAGACATGTCGCTCCTTTGGGTTTCTCGTCTCGGCAATATACATAACTAGTGGCTTAATCATATCTATCATTAAAACAATTTTTCCTTGGAGTATCCTCTTTCACGAAAACTGACTTCGAGTAGCTGAATGCTATCAATGGATGTTTTTTAACTGGAGCAGGCCTAATGTGCGCTTGAGCAGATTCCGCCATCGGCAGGGCGGGACTTGTGAACGCCACCACGGCCCGCAACGTTGGCAGATATGTAATTCCTTGAAAGGTTAAGAGCGCTTGGTGTCTGAGGTAGTTCAAATCCATAGCTGTTGTGCTACTGGGGGCGTATTCCATAATTTCCATCATTAAAAGTTCCTAAGATGGAAGATCGGAGGTCCGGCGGTTACCAGATCTAACTAGCAAGCAGAACATGAAAGGGCGTGATGAAAACAGTTCTCTGTCAACCACGAGCTTGTTCGGCTAGAATCTCGAGCCTCGGAGCCCTTATCGGGCCTAATGTTTGGCCGGCAGAGCATAATCGGTGATTGTATTCCCAAGATCAAGAAATACAAAAAGAAGCGGTTGCTGTGGTGCTAAGGGAAGCCAAGGTATGCAGCCGAAACTATAAATTATGCTTCCACGTGCACTTTATACGTCGCAGATAAGCGAATGTACTGCACTAATGTGCTGGACCAGGATGCATAAGTAGATGAGCATCTTGCTCAAAATGCTCGAAATCGAGCTTCGTCGATTTAATAGAGCTATTATAGATAGCCTTTTTACCCAAAATGACGCTCAACTCGATGGTATAGGGCTGAAAATCTATCTCCTTCTCCTCCGCCTCCTCCTGCTCCTCCTCCGCCGCCTCCTCCTTCTTCTTCTCCTCCTCCTCCTCCTCCTCCTCCTCCTCCTGCTCCTCCTCCTCCTTCTTCTTCTCCTCCTCCTTCTAATACCTCTCATACTACTCGAAATCAACGTTTGCAAATTCAAACATTGCATAGCGCAGGACATTCGTACAACGAAATTCGTCAGCAATTGCCAAATCTTACACGACGTCAAATTCAATACGCTATACATCATCAATTGACCCCTAAAAAACGCTCTGGTCGACCCTTAACTCTTACGAATGAACAAATTGACGAAATTATTACATGGGTGTGTGCTTCAAACGCAAATCGACGTACACCTTGGATTCAAATTCCTCTTGCTATGAAAATCAATATTGGATGGTACGCTATTCGAAATGCTTTACAAAAAGCAGGCTTTTCACGTCGAATTGCATGTCGTAAACCTCCTATTTCTGAAAAGAATCGACAAATACGTCTACAATGGGCTACTGAACATGTCAATTAGACATATGAACAATGGAAAAAGATACTTTGGAATGACGAAACATGGGTTAATAGGGATCAACATACAAAGACATATATTACACGTTGATCTGGCGAAGAGTGGGATCTTATGTGTATTATTAAACGTTATTAATGACGTAAAGGATAAATGTTTTAGGGTTGTTTTAATAGTGATAGAAAAGGTTCTAGTATCTTTTGAGAGAAAGAATAAGGTACTATCAAAGAAACAACATATTGAGAACATATCATACCTCTTATTAATAATTGGATACAAATAAATAGAGGAGATTTGTTATTTATGTAAGATTCTGCACCTGCTCATGCTGCTAAGAATACTATTTGAGCTCTTTGTTAACACAGCATTTAATGTATTTAATAGCCCGCATATTCGCCTGATTTAAATCTAATTGAGACGGTATGGAATTAGATGAAGGATTGGATACAAGAGCGTTATAGAGATACCCTATACAAATATGATGAGTTATGAATAGCAGTTAATGCAGATTTAG